TTCCTAATTCAAAGCCATAGGGAGTAGACGGCTATAGAGGGACGGAGGGGTTTAATGAGGCATTCAATGCTTAAATTACTAAATTAAGTTTGGAAAGAAAGATCTCATCCTATCTTAATTCAAAATTTAAATAGGATATGATTACATAAGTTTCTTAAAATAGGATTTATAAATTAGGTAACTATTTCAAATTCAAATTGATTTGAATTTGATCATTAATAGAGTTACCAAAATTATGAAATCTAATTTAGGAAAGACTTGGTGGCAAGTGGAGATGGGGGAAGCCAAGGGGATGGGTCGGCGGTGGAGCTTGGCCGTGGATGGGGTGGGGTTGGATCTAGGCGGCCGGTGGTGTGGGAATTTAGGTGGCCGCCGACTTAGGGACTCGAGAAGACCTTGGGCCAGCAGCTAGGGGATTAAGGAAAGAGGACGAAGAGATAGTGAAGAAGAACCACGAACCCAGCCGTCTCCAAGGTAGGTGGGTGATCTGATTTCCCTCTCCTAGTGGTTTCTCTCCCAAGCACTCTCAAGATCTTACAAAGAACTCAAGCAATGAAAAATTTTTATCATTTCATTCATTAAACATGAAAAGAGAACATAAGGACTATATATAGTCTCATACAAAGGACTCGAAAATAAAAGACGAACATGCCCTTTGGGCTTATAAATAACCTTCCTTAAGTAAGGGATAAAAGGGGAAAAAATATCAAAACAAATACAACATAAAATAACAAAACAAATACATTATAAAATACATAATATGACTCAGAAATACATCGACTCAATCGTGGCCGTAGATTGACGTCTACGTCTCTGATAGACTTTCTAAGCTCCAATGTCCCCATCATTTTCCCGGTGTGGGAAGAAGCTCGACTCCATCGAGTAAGCGTCCCGGGTGCTCTCATAAATTTCTAATACGTCGGGGTCAATCTGCTGCATCTCCTCGCGATCCAACCACGTATCCTCTGACTCAGCCTTGCCTCTCCACCTGATCAAGTACCTCCATCATCCACATTCCCTTGTGGAGATGATCTCATCACTCAGAATCGTGTCAACCTTCTTTGCCATGGGTGATTTGGGAATGTTTGGGAGTGGAGATAGGTTTGGGCTCCCACATGGTAGGGTCACACAAGGCTGTTGTATGAGTGGATTTGATGGGTTGAAATCAGGACCTTCATATGCAACTAGATCTTTTATGTTAGGGGATTGATGTTGAATTCTGCAGGCAGATCTACTACATAAGCATTATCATTGATTTTCTTAATTATCTTGAATGGTCCAGTACTTTTAGCATGCAACTTCTTAATTGTTCCCTGCGGGAACCATTCCAGACGAATTTGCACCATCATGGACTCACCAACCTCAAAAGTTTTAAATTTTCGTTTAAGATTGGCATACAATTTATAATCATTATTGCTCTTTTCAATTTGTCGTGTAATTTCTTTATAAAGTTCATGCATATGTGATGCAAATGATGATGCAGACTCAGAAATCTCATACCTATAGCACATGAGTATGAGGTCTAGTGGTTGTCTAGGTTTGAACACATAAACAATTTCAGGACTTAGGCCAGTGGTTCGGTTCAAATAATTATTATAGGCAAACTCAACTGTGGGGAGAATGGAATCCCAATCCTTAATATGCTCGCTTACCAGGGATCGTAACATATTGCCTAAGCTCCTATTGACTACCTCAATTTGACCATCAGTTTGTGGATGAAAGGCTGTGGAGAATTGCAATTTAGTGCCCAATTTCATCCAAAGGGTTTTCCAAAAATAGCAGGTGAATTTAACATCCCTATCCGATACAATGGTCTTGGGTAACCCATGTAAGCGGACGACCTCGTTGAAATAGAGTTTAGCAATGTGGGAGGCGTTAGATGTTTTGGAGCAAGGTAGGAAATGGGCCATTTTGGAGAATTGATCTACTACAACACATATGGCGTCATTCATATGGATAATCTTGGGCAGACCGCAGACCTAAGATAAAGTTCATGCTAACGTCCTGCCACGAACAACTGGGGACAGGCAGAGGGGAGAGGTGTAAAGACCAGTGTTTTGCTTGCGGTGTTTGGCTAGCTCCATCCTACCGACATCCCTCTTTAGACTGGGCCAATAAAAATGATACTCCACGGCTTCTATCGTCTTATCTCGACCAAAGTGCCCAGCGAGGCCGCCGACGTGGAGTTCCTGAACAAGAAATTCCCAGGGAGGTGCTAGGGATGCAAAGCTTTTGAGCTTTGAAGAGATGACCATCCTCCATAAGGAAATCGTTCACAAGGTGTGTGCTGCCCGTGGACAGGAGAGAGTAAGTCTCCTTGAAGTCGGGGCATTCCAAATAGTCCCTCTTTATTGGGTCAAAACCCACGACTTCGGCTCTCATCTCAGTGGTAGTCATCATACGACGACTGAGAGCATCAGCAGCTTTATTCTCAACTCCCGCCTTATGTCTAAGGTATAAGTGTACTCCTGACAGAATTCTACCCATCGATCGTGACATGCATTCAACATCTTTGAGAGTTGATAAAACCAATGTTTAAAATTGCGTATTCGGGTATTGAGGCGTTTGTAAGTATGTGAGCATGCATATGTATGCATGTACATATAAATACTTGTAAGTATGCATGCACATATGCACATATTCATGTGATACCTGCTAGAAAATGTGGAAGATAAGAATTCTCATTTTAACATTGCCCAAAGATTAACATACGCAGAGATAAGAAAAGTTAATAGGGGAGAACGAAAATTCTATGTAAAATTTCTAAAAATGCTTTGAGATTCATGATGAACATTAAATCTTTCAAGAGACATCAAAGAATAACAATTTAGTAATTTTAATTAAAATAATCAAATACACAATTAGAGGATTATATATTAATTTTCTTGATCATAAATCATTTTTTATATATCTAGAAGTTTTAATGATCACATGTATGTAGGGTTCAAAGATCATTTAACCCCTCAAATATTATTGTAAAAATTTTAACTATATTTTAAATTATTGATTTAAGCTCATTTGGGCTTGAATAAAAAATGCAGCCAAGTTCATTTTGTCAAAACTTCTCGTTTAGATTGTATTACTAAAATCAAAATTTGAATATTCGTTATTGCATCCTGGAATATTCACGGCGATAGAGAAATATAAAATTTAATGTCTTAACTTTATATAAAAATCCAACACAAAATCAAATTAAAGAGATGGTGTAGCGTTCATAAGAGACATCAAAATTTTACATAGAAACCCCTGAAATGGGGGGAAAATTATGAGGTCTAATCCAATTTGAATGAATCCCTAGTATTCACAGTCAATTACAAATGAGGCCCTTCCTTGGGAGGAAGGCATGGAGGGCCTTTGTTTGATGTAACAAATATATATCATATAGAGTGCATTACAAAGTAGAAATTGAAGAATCAGTATTGCCATGTTGGTTTAGTTAGCATGACCATTGTCGACGGAAGACTAAGGTCGGAAAAATCGTAGTTGGGTGATGGTGGTCAGAAGAACCGTAGTTCGTGGATGACGGTGGTCAGAAGAACCATAGTCGACTGGCGATAGTGGTGAAAAAGACGGTTGTACGACGACGGAGGTCTGAAAGATAATAGTTGGCAGGCGACAATGGTTAGAAAGACCATTGTATGATGACAAAGGTAGGAAAGATCGTTGTCAACAAGCGACAGTGATTAGAAAGATCATAGTCTAGTGATGGAGGTCAGAAAGACAGTAGTTGGTAGGCGACGGTGATTAGAAAGATCATGGTCGGCGGGCGACAATGGTCAGAATGGTCATTGTCTCGACGGAGGTCAAAAAGTTCGTAGTCAGCGGGCGATTGTGATTAGGAAGACTGTTAACTAGTGATGAAAATCGGAAAGACCGTAGTCTGGCGACGGAAGTTGGAAGGAACATAGTCTAAGAGTGACAGTGATCATAAAGATCATTGTCTGGTGACGAAGGTCAGCATAACTGGTGATAGTCATTGGTCCTATGTAAATCCAACTTCAATACATGGCCAGGCAGAATTACAGCATAAGTCGGTGGCCATGCGGAAGTCCGACATCAGTTAATGGCCTGGCGGAAGTTCAACGATAGTCCGATGATTGTCGATGGTTCGACATAAGTCCGACGGAATTCCAGACGGTGGTCGAGGAAGGACTTGGTGGCAAGAGAGATCTCAAATTTCTCTTCCTTTTTCTGCTCCTTCTCATCGTCCCCTTTTTATGAAGAATAGATGGGGAGAGTCTATTTATAATTTTTTGAGGGTGGCATGGCTAGTAAATAGTGGAAAGATTAAGAATATGTTAAGAGTGTTTCAGATGAATGACCAATATTGATCCCTTGATCCTGGATCATTTACTAGGCATTTGAATGTTTTAGTAATATTATAATTTGGCAATCTGGGGCACATTGAATTCGTCTTGTCGGCCGCTCGATCCGACTAGAAGCATGTCACTTTGGAAATCATATGGTCATCCAACTTATAGTTTGAAACTTCTAAATTCACTTAAACCGTTGATTTGGACCCATTTGGAGTCATGAGTTGAATTTGGTGTCATTAAGTTCGTCTTTTTGAGATGTTTAATTCAACTATAAGTTTATTGAAATCAGAATTTGCATGGTCCCGAATTTAATTTCAGAAGTTTTCAATTTGATTTTGCTTCGAGATTCATGCCCAATCAAGATAACTTTTTGATGATTTATCAATCTTAATATTAATTTTTAAAAAAAATTGTAATAAAGACATTAAAACAAGATCAAGGGATCTTTGTTGACCTATTGATGATCATATTTTGTGTATATAAACATAATTAATTTTTTTTTTATCAAACTGCACATTATTGAATAAAAGTTTATGTATGTTCGACCTATAAAATAAATCTGATTAAAACTAGTCAAACATAACCGCACACATAAAACTTATTTAACAGATCTATCAAACTCGAGCAGAGAAATCGGAGATCTTTTATTCCTGAACCACAACACTACAAAAGTCTCGTGGTCGGTTAATGAGAAGAACTGGGCTCCTTAACATAGCTTCCAAGGCGCACAACAATGCCATCGATATCTCGAACATAGCCGACCCTCTGCCCCCACTCCTTGTCCTCCGGCGGGCTCACCGGCACTGCGCCGCTCTCCACCGCCGTCTTGTAAGCGGCGTCCACGTCCGCGAAGGCGAAGCAGACTTCGACCTGCTGCCTCTCTTTCGGCCCGACCGGCTTCTGCACCGAACCGCTCTTCTCGTCAGTCTCTCTTTGGTGCTCCGGCGTGAAAGCTATTGTCGTATGCCCGCTCTCCAACTCTCCCCATCTAAAACTCGCAATATTTCAGTTAGGAAATGAAATTATCTCACAGAAACTTAAGATAAAAGAATGAATTGGCTCCGAAGTTCCCAAAAAAAAAAAATCTTCACAAGCTGATCACCTGTGCGATTGGTCGAGGCGACGAACGTTGTAGCCGAAGGCTTTGGCGTAGAAAGCCACCGATTTGGCCACATCTTTGACGTACACAACAGTGTAGGCGTAGGCAGGGTTGAGGTTGGAAGCCATGAGAGGAATTTGTTGTTAATGAACAGCGAATGTGAAGAGGGTTTACGCAGAGAAAAAAAATGGGAAAATATTGCGATGTTGAAAGGGGGATGAAGAGGCAAATATATATATATTCTAAGCTATTGAGAAGAGTGCTGAAGGGAGAAGAGCAGAGGTGGCGAACATGCAAAGCGGGGGTAGCGCCACAGGCTTCCACGTTCGCTGGTAAGGTGTAGCTCTCTCCTAAGAAGTAAAGAAACAGAGCGATACTGAATCAATAAAATACATATTTTTTTTGTTAGTTTGATATTAATTAGGCAAAATTTGAAGAAGAATCTTTGTCAAAGTTTTAAATTATGTGAAGGAGCAAAATTATATAAAAATTTAAGAAGAAATAAATTAGTAAAACAATTTAGCTAGTTTGCTAGTTTGGCTAATTCTGAAGACACCAAATAATTTGATTAATTCTATCCTTATTTTCACTAATCATTATTAGCAATATCATTAGTTGATTAAGGATGCATTAAAAAAATTAAAACTAGGTTAACAGACGATAAACTCTCTGCTTAAAGGATCATTAGTGAAAAAATGGCCCTTTTAACGGGCAATTTTGCTCTAGCTCAAATATTTTTTTAAAAAATTATTTTTATTATTTATTTAATTTATTATTAAATAGTAAGTTATTCATGTTTTATATCATTTTAAATTGTTCATTGATCAATTTATGTTAGTTAGCTTTAAAGAAAATACTACTTAAATTAGGTAGGTTGTATTTTTATCGCTTAAGTCTGGTGCTCACTTAATGTTATTAAAATTCTTTTTTCCTCAAAAAATTAGGACAAACTAAATTTAAACAACAAAAATTTATATTAAATTTATGAACTCATAAGCAACATTCCAACAACAACCAAAATCGTACGGTTCTAGTTTGACTTATTTGCTTCTTAAAATTTTTATAAAGTTAGACAAATAGTTTGACTAGTTTGCTTCTTCTTAAATTTTTATAAAATTTTACTCCTTCGCATAATTTAAACTTTGCCCAAGATTCTTCTTAAATTTTTGCCTATTAATTAACATACAAGAAAAAACAAATTAAAATGTTATTAAAATTTTTTTCTGGTAATTGCGGGCAAAGCCCTTGTATTAATCAACAAGAAGAGTTACAAATGAGCTGCTATATAAGAGAAAATTGAAGATGAGCAGCTACCAAAACATGAAGAAGCTCATCATCCAAAACGCAATAAGAAGACTGTAAAAGAGCTTTGATTCAAAAGAGAATTATTAGGCTTACAGCAGAATGTGAAGGAAAATACAAAGGTCAAAAGCATAAATGTCTGGACTTAGAAATTTGAAAGTTAATATCAGCATTTTAAAGCAACAGACACCCCTGGTTGCCCAGAGACCATCCAAGAGGTAGAAATTTGAATTGATGAGATGATCATCATCATCCAAGACAAATCAAAATCCTTTAAGAATTGAACAGCTTCATCAGATTTTTGCTTGAGAAAAGGCAGCCCGATAGATTCGGCCAAAAGAAACCATCCCCTCCAAATTCAAAGAAAAAAGAACCTCCTCCAGAAAGGGACTTTTAAAAGACAAAAACCCTAAAAGGAACTCATTGCCATACAATAACCACTAAAAAAGATCTCCAGTAATGACAAATTGTTTTTATAGTATCCCAATATTTCTAGGTTGAAAGTTTTCGGTCAACCGCTCTCTTATATGATAGCACAAAGTAGCTCCATAAGAAATACGTAGAACAACATGCAATTAGAAAGTAATAATTTTTTTTATCTTTCACCGTGAAAGTCCTTTCCTCCACAAATTCCAAGTCTTGAGAGAGATTTGGTCTCATAAAGAATTTGTCTTAAGAAGGTATAAACTTTTGAAGAATAGCAAAAGAGCAATCACATTAAAAAAGAAGATGCATTTTAGTTTCATAATTGACAAAGCAAAAGGGACAAATTAAATCAATGGTGACATTCCTTTTCATTAATTCATCTTCAGTTTTAAGACCTTTAATAACCAGCCAGACAAATACAGAATATTTCAACGCATGATGCTTATGCCAAACATATTTAGGCCAACAGAGTATGTTCTCCTCTTTGAAGAAATCATAAATGAAGGTAGCAGAATAGATTTTCTTTTTATCCTATCAAGAGATAGTGCCAGTTTGATTAGTGACAATAGGAATGGTATTTAAAACAAAACTTAAAGACCCATCTAAAGTATCAGGCAAATTCCCTAATCATCCAACTGATGCAAAATCTGTTGGAATGTGTAGCCATCACCTGATCAAACTTTTTATATATAAACTATACTAGTCCTGATCAAACTGTGTATGTTTGAAAAGCTAGAAAAGTGCTATGTTGCCCACCCATAGCCCAAAAAGTCTTTGATATGTTAGCACTAAGAGAAAGAGAGTGAGAAATTAAGCTTAATAACTCCATGGATTGCACTGATCAATCCCTGTTATGCAAACTCAGTGTGTCAAATATTTAGGCTTCGTTTGATACGGTTTTTTTATTGTTTCTTAAAGGAGTTTTCTAGTATAAAAATTAAAAAAAATTATACTAAAAAGCTGCTTTAAGAAGCAGTAAGAAAGCCGTCCCAAATGAATTTTTTTTTTTTTGGCTGTCGGCAGGAAATGTAGTTGACTCTTGCAAAAACTTCTTTATATGAGAGAGGAAAAGTTTATATATGGATCATTGTGGAAGGAAAGTTCTTTGATCGGCTTCAAAGAGACACCACTCAAGCTAACATTGTTATTTTAATTTACTTTAAATCCCTTAGAAGATCTGGGTTTCTACAACATTTAATCCTTACTAAACATAAAATGAGAATCAGAAAATGAGAATCATACGAGAGAATTTTATGGGACTATGAATACTCTAATAAGCAATTTGTTAGAAATTCTTTATTGTTCATTATAATCTAATTTGACTTGATTTCAAATGAAATTGTAATATATTATTATCAAAAAATACAAAATAGAATATCCATCTTGTAATATAATAAATTTTCCCACCCCCTAAGATGCCTTTTTAACAGAAATTGAAAATTGAAAAGTATACTTAGTTATTTTGTTTTGTACTAAGATGTTCAATATTCTTTTCTTTGCTGAAAATTAATTTGATCAGCCGAAAATATTTTTAGGAATGAATAAAAAGTTGAGGGAAGTTTTTTTAAAAATTAAATTGGCTCCACTATAGAAATCAATTTTTTAATACAAATATTTTTTCAAAGTAAAAAAAATAGTTATCAAATATAAATTATGGTTGCAATCTAAAAAACAAGATAGTAAGAAAGCTATTCCAAATAAAACCTAAATTTAGTATCATCCAAGCTCTGATTTTAATTAATTTGCTGTAAAACTGAACGGCAAACAGAAAAATTATTGATGCTACAAGTGATATGTTCCAAGTCAAAACGAATAATATTCAATTACTTACAGCATATTTGAAAGCTTCATAATATGAATTGAAAACTAAACAATATTCAAATCTTATATGATTACAATCACATCGAGCTAATCAACTCGACGAGTTTAATGAACTCAATGTCATTCAACATTAAAATACTAAAAATTTGAATAAATGATTTATGATCATGATGATCAATATAGATCGATCGATGAAGTGTTTCAGATTATAATCAAATTTATCAAAAGGTCCTTCTAACAAAATTATAAATATGACTCCATTTTGTCTATGTAGTGGAGTTTCTATAACTTAGAGAGCTAAAGAACTTTGTTGCATTTTTCAACAATCATAAGTTGTTTTGTAAAAAGTGTTTAATTCACATTTTATAAAGGATTCAAGGCAACAATCTCAAACTCCTATGATGTGGGACTAAAAAAATTGCATGAATTATCTAGAATGTGAATTTGGACTTATTTGGGCTCAGTTGGACTACAAATTTGGATAATATGTATTATAAATTTGCTATAATATATATTATAATAGTTATAATATAAATTTTTAATATTATGAATTTATAATGTATAAATTTTTATTACTTATACATCATAAAAAATTATCTTGATCGGGCATGAATCTCGAGGCAATATCAAGTTGGAAACTTTTGAAATTAAAATTGGGACAATCCAAACTCTAATTTCAACAAACTTATATTCTAACTGAATGTCTCGAAAATACAAACCCAACGACACCAAATTTGACTCAATCCGAGACCAAATGGGTCCAAATCAAGGATCTAAAGAATTGTTAGAAGATTCAAACCATAATTTGGATTACCAAATGGTTTCCAAACGTGACATTCTTATAATCGAAGCAACCTAGCGAGGCGAATGCAACAAGCTCAAGATCACGGAATTCCAACATCACTAAGACCTTCAAATGACTAGCAAATGGTCCACAATAAAGGGATTCAACATCGGCCGTCCATCCAAACCACTCCCCATTTACCCTTGATCATTCTCATATTTACGGGTCAAGACACTCTATGAAATCTATAAATAGACCCCTCTTTCCTCTTGAAAAGAGACCCTCGAAGCCTAAGCAATAGAGCAAAAGAGAGATTGGAGATTGCTCTTGCCCATAGCTCCTCCTTGACTATTGTCCGGAGTTCCGCAGGACCACCACTTGACGTCGAAGTTCTGTCGGACCACCACCTGAGGCCTGGAGTTCTGTCGGACCACAACCTGAGGCCTGGAGTTCCGTCGGACCACCACCTGAAACCCGGAGTTCTGGCGGACCACCACTTGAGGCCCAGAGTTGTATCGGACCACAATTTGAGGCCCGAAGTTCCACCAGACCAGCATATGAGGCCCGAAGTTCTCTGTATGTGAGCTAGATATCCGTACAGACAGGTCGAACCTTAACCTCTCATTCTTCTGGTTCTTTGTCTGATCCAACTTTCACAACCTTGATTATAACAACCAATGTTAGACACAATTAAAGAGTGCGGGGTAACTTTCAATTTTCCTCATAAAAAAATGAAATCAACTTAGCCTGTAAATGTGTATCATTGTGGCATGGCAACTATGTTCTAAAAGTGACAGTAAGCCTAAGGAGAAGAAGAATTTGTCCTCAATACAATATGAAAGCCACCTTTTCATATGTAAAGTAGTACCATAGTTAAATTCCTCCCAGAGACTAGAGACCTTCATGATAGATGACTTCTAAATTGACCTATATCGTTAAAATAATAACAATCAATCAAATTTGGAGTTTGGATTATTTTACCAAAGAATATCAAACAAAAAAACAGAACAGAACAGAAAGCTAAGGTTACAAAGGAACTTTGCGGCAAATAAGGTAAAGCGCTGCTAATCGTCACCGGGGCTAATCGTCACCGGGGGTAATCGATAAGCAGAGCATTAAATGACGCGGCTCCTATTTTTTTAACAAATAACTCGGCCGCCGGACGGTGACGGCCCCACCGCGCTGCACCGCACCCCAGACTTTTGCGTGTTCTACCGTCGCAAAGCCGCGCCTTTTCACACCCCAAACCAAACCCTCATTCTTTATTCGCCCTTTTCTTCTTCTTCTTCCTTCCAGCGAAGGAAGCCTACACAGAGATTGAAGAAAGATAGGAGAAGAATAAATTGATGAACAAAGCCCCACCTGGTTATTTATTATCCGTCCCTTCCTCCCACCTTTCACACGCGGACAGCGAGGGGAAAGAAGAAATAAATAGCCCTTCACATCTCTCGCTTGTCTCGTGACTCCAACAACGACCCCTTAAACCAAATCAAAAAACCTTCTTTGCTGATACTCTCCCTTTTCTTTTTCCTTCCCAAACCCGCAACCATAAGCTTCTCGCTTTCACATGACTTCTTCCCCTCTACGCCGCCTACGATGCCATCTCCTCTCCGCAACGGCGACCTCCGGTCCCCAGCCGTCGTCCACCACCGCCAGATTCCATTCCAATCGACTGTTTCAGAGCAGAAGCTTCGCCGTCTCAACGCTCTTATCCTCCTCCTCCGCTTTGCTGCATTCTGCTTCTCACTTGCAGCCGCAATATTCATGGCCTCCAACTCCTCTCGCTCCCAAGGCTCTCCTTCCTGGCTGCACTTCCCCAGTTTCCGCTTCGTCCTGGCAGCCAACTCGATCGTTTCCATCTACTGCCTCTTCGAGATGTCTGCTTCTGTTTGGGAGATCCTGAAGGGCGAAACCCTCCTTCCCGAGCCGGTGCAGCTCTGGTTCGATTTCAGCCACGATCAGGTATGTTCCTTGAATTTTTTTAAGATTTTGGGCATCAAATCTGGTTTTCTGATTAGTTTGTGGGAATGCGCATCAGGTGTTTGCGTATATGCTTCTTGCCGCTGAGGCGACGGGGACAGGGGTGGCAAGGGATTTGCATGGCCATGGCTCTTGCGACGCCGCCGGTGCCTTCTGCGTGCAGGCTTACATCTCCGTCGCGCTTGGTTTTGGAGGTTTTGCATTCCTCGCGCTCTCTGCCCTTCTTTCCGGCTTCCGAGTCGCCTGCTTCGTCATCACTGGCTCTCGTTTCCATCTCTAAATCGAAGAACTCCATCGAAAAGGCAAACCTTTATCTATCTCTACTTTTCGAGCACGCTCTCCTCCTTCCTCTGTCTACCGAGCTGAGGAGAGCGTGTTCCTCGAAAAGCGTCTTTCTTCATTTTTTTATTTTCCTTTTTGGTTCTCGGAGAGACCTTTTGTTTGTGACACTATGTAAACTAGGAGCTTGTCTGATCTTTCAATATGATACTAAGGTTGCATAAACTGTTTTTTTCTTTCTCGGCTACAAATTTGAAGATAAAACGATATGTAAATTGCTCTAAATTGTACTGAAGTGAATCTTTTGATTTGGTATTTTCGTATCGTTCACTGTTTCTTAGAGTAATTTATTAGTCTTGCTCTGTTGGAGATGGGAGTCTATTGCCACGGTTGAAATCTAGAAGACTCAGACTTGGTTGTTTGCAAGGTGTTTGATTCTTTGTCTAACCGGGGAATTGTGTGAGTCAATGACAGCTCTCCATGTGAAAACAATATTTTTGTATTGTACTGACCCTAAAAAATAATTTAGTAAATTTGTATAAAAATAATAGTCGTCGGCCCCTCTGTGGAGAAAAATATTTGATGTAGTTTTTTATATTTCAATTACTATATAATAAAATAATTTAAATTTTAATGATTGGTTAATTATAATATTTTTTCCCTTGGGCTTATTGACAAATTAACAAATATTTGGATTAGGATATGTAGACTAAAAATTTTTCTCTATCACCCTTGGTAGGACCTTTGCAAATCATGTGCTTGTTGGCCGGATGCTAGACTTCTTTGTGGACCATATTATCTCATCTATCCTAGAAGTTAGGAGGAAGCGTGTGATGTCAAAGTTTAAAGTACAAAGGTTAGGTGAGAAAATTAAAATTTATTTATTATGAGGTAGAGAGAGAGAAAGGAAAAAGATCAGTTAGTTGTAGGACAAATTATTCTGTGCGGAGGTCGAGCAAAGTTTTACGTTCGAAGGCGAATCAGGTGCAGTCATGTCAGCGGTACCGAGTCGCGGTACTGAGCAATATCAAGCTGCGGTACCGAGCGAAGGGGTGATGTGGCGTATTCTGGTTAGTCTCCAGACGGCGTTTGGCGTCCACATAGAATAATCTTTCCATAAAAGAGTTTTATGATGGTTCATCATATAGAGATAACTAAAGTCTAATGAGTTTCATTATGCCTCAGAATTACATAGAGAGGATTCCAATTATGTTGAGCTCATTTCAAAGAGAGAACAAAGAAACATAAGAAATGCATGGGAGGTTGGAGCTATATTATATTTAGGGCTGCAAACGAACCAAACGTTCGGCGAGCTACTCGTTGTTCGGTTCGATTAAAGCTCGTTTGTGATCGTTTAATTAACTAAACAAACAAACTTGAACAATATTTTAAATACTCGATTCTTAAATAAACAAACTTGAATACTAATGCGTTCAATTCATTTACGTTAGCGAACAACATCTTTTGAAGTTCGTGAACAAAGTCGACATTAAGATCGATAAGAATCTCGATAAAAGCTCGATTCGTGTGATTGCTGCAGGTATCAAATATTGTTTAACTTGCTGTCTAAGTAATTGTAGCTTTATATGGCTATTTATTTATAAATTATTACCTTTATTAATGTTGCTATTAGTAAAATTCTGTGAAGATGAGATTTGGTTATAAATCATTGCCTTAGTTACATAAACAATTGCTTTTATTATAAATGTGTTTGTTCATAGATATGTTCATGAACATGTTTGTTTGATAGTTAAAAAAAAATTCGTTAAATATGTTCGTGAACATGCTCGATGTAATCGTTTGTTAGGAAGCTCGATAAAGCTCGTTTGTTAAGTTAATAAACATTTAAAAGTAGAGCTCGTTTATAGCTCGTTCATGTTTGTTTGTTTAAAGCTCGATAAGCACTAAACAAACGAACATGAACTGAACATGAACTGAACATGAACCGAACATGAACACTTGTTAATTTAAATCAACCAAACATGAACACAAATAATAAAGCTCGAACAAACATGAACCAAACTTGGAACAACATAATATTAAATGAACACAAACATGAACACTCACATACTCGGCTCGGCTCGGTTCGTTTGCAGCCCTAATTATATTCAAAATAAAAGAAATAAGAGTAAGTTTTTGAGCAATAGTGAGACTCAACTAAAAGTAGATGAAGTTGTTCTTGTGGTCGCCTCCTTTTACCTTTGAATGCCCATGGCCCGATAAGGCTTGCCCAAGAAGCCCTTTTTTCTTTATAGTGAGAAGGTATTTATAAGGTTTAACATATTTTGATGTCACCCCCACAGCCCCACTTATATCATCCTACTTTTGTCCTCATGAATAGATTTTGATGCTAGAGATTAAATGAGTGAGGAACTCAATTTGTGTTAATATAAATGAAACAAATGGATGCATTGGTTTAGGTTTTTAATTATTTAATTGCATTTTTTTTTTTGGATAATTTGAAAAAAATTCTAAAAAGCTTATTTTTTTGCATTTTCTAAATTCATTCATATCAGGTCGATTCAAATCGACGACCCTATCTTTTCCACTATCATCATCCTCAGCAAATCTCAATCTCTCCACTGGCATTCTTGCCTTCATTTGCGACCTCCATCACTTATCATCATCATCACTTATCGTATCCTCTACTTCATCCAAAATTGATCTTCTAAAGAGTAGAGAGACAAAGAGACAAATAGATAGATTCATTTTTCATTTAAGAAATAAATGAAGAAATGAAATTATTTTTGTTGTATTTAATTTACCGTCAATAAAATAAATCATAAAAATTAACATATATTATATTTTTGAGTAAGAAAATATATTATATTTCATAAATAAACGTATTTTAAATGCATCAACTCAAACAGAACTCTGAATAAATTAGGCAATGTAGCATAAATTATATATTTTTTTAATCCTACATTCTTAGATATAGGTTTGACCTGCCGCCCATAGAACATTGCTTCCTTTTCATATGTCCAAGTCAGACGCCTATAGATTTTTTTTTTAAAATAATAAACAATAACTTATAAAATATAAAATTCAATTTCATAATCATAAAAAAATCTTATTTAATAAAAGAAAATGCTTTTGTAATGGTCCCCCCTCTATGTTTAACGATGTCTAGTCAACTAACAATTATTAGCTTGGCCTTTGATTTTATCAATGTTCAGATTTAAGTGAGTCAAACTGGCTCACAAGTCAGCTCGAACTCAACTCACTAACGAGCTTACTGAGTTACGAATTTGAGGTTCAATCTAAATTCAAGCTTATATATTATATGAGCTCGAGCTCAGCCCTACTCTACTTATAATTTGAAGAGTTTGACTTGAGGGCATTAGTGTAGGCCCCACTCACGCCACGGGCATATTATTGTACTACAAGTATTAATCTATTGTCTAAGAGTTTTAAATGCTCTATCTATTCTATGCCAACTCTAAGTATTATGTAATAACGTTAATATGTCATTATCTTAACTAATCATAGTTTGGCAAATTTAAACCATAGTTTTGCTTAAAAGTTTATTGATCTAGCTTCTTTTATCCTCTTTAATTAAAGATGAAGTGTTGCTTTATGTGGAAAAATTGAGCAACACAAGCTTACAACAAGATAATTATAAAATAATTTTTAATTAAGTATTTGTTTCATATATTAATCTTAAAATAGATTTATAAAATATTTTAAACAAATTTTCTCAATTAGTTTATTTTGATTATTATCATATGTTCAGATGATTATGATTTAATTTTGATGAATTTACATGCATACCATAAATTTTTTATACATTTATACTTCTAATACATAAATTTTTATAATTGGTTATATGTCATTTCAATAAATAAATAATATTAAAATATATCTGTAAAACTGCTTAATATATTTTAAAAATTCCATGGTTAATTAGCTCTGACATCATTAAGACACTTAAAATGCTAAAATATTAGATTGAGATCAGGAGTTTAATACGAATTGTCCAAGTTAATGTTTTGATTATGGTTAAATTTATCAAAATATTGCACTTTGAAAACTATAAATAAACCATTACTCTCTGTGAGGAAGGGGTTGGAGTCGTCCTAGGAGCTAGACTAGAGATGAGGGAACTCAAAAGCTTCCTAGAGCTCCGCTCAACCGCAATCAAACAACATCCGTTCAACTATCATCATGGAACTACTATTTTTGAATCACCATCGTCCAACCACCACCTTAACCATCATTTGCATGACTATGATCCTTTGATAGCCATCATTCAATTATCATCCTTCATCTGATATTGCCAATACGGTAGACACACAGCATCACCTATAAGGCCAACACACACCATCAACATTAAGGTCAACGTGAATTGACTTAGTCATATGTCGGTGTCAATAGAATTATCATATGTCATCGATTATAAGAGTCATATTTTTCTAATTTTTAATAGTACTTATAAATTTATTGATAAATTTAAATGTATTAGTTTTCTTCATCAATACAAGACTATTATATAATATGTAATGTCTTAGTTATTTGCAAAAATTTTGAGAAAAGGATTGATCGAGAACCACACATAAATAAATTATGTACATAGGGAGGGTTTCCCCTTACAACTAGTGGTTACTAGCAACCATCATAATTGGACTTTCCACTATATTTATTTTACTTCTAATGTGAGTATAGAGATTAGCTTAAATCTCGAGGCAATATTTTAATTGAAAACTTTCAAAATTAAATTTAGGATCATCCCAACTTTGATTTATGTAAAGTTATAAACGAACTAAACATCTATGTGAGACAAATATATCAATACTACAAATGATTCAATCCAACTTTAAATGAGCTCAAATCGAACACTTAAATTATAATTATAACTTATGAACATAAATTGATAGACCAAACAACCTTCAATTATATCATACTTATAGCTAAATTGAGCAGCTTGATGAGGCAAATCTAACGACACTTTGGTGACGTTAAATGATTCAATTGGTTGATAAAGGATCAACGATCAAAGAGATCAATGTGGACCAAAATTAAAAATAAAAACAAGGATACAATATCTAGAAACCCAAGCACGTAGGGCTATTGGTCCGAAGGGGGGTGAGACAAAACCCATGGCTCTTATTATTGATGAATGTCATTAGCAATCTCCATTGCTATGACCATACTTCAAACAATATTTAATCCTGTTGTTGTTTATTGTTGTTTATTTTGTCCTCCTATGAACACTAAATTACTATAATCCATATAAAAGAAATCAGACCATTATATTGTAACTATTTCTCATCTAATTTAATTACGAGAAAATGAGGATTCTCGTATCTTCTATTTTATAGTAGATTATTATAATTAGTTTAACAATATTTATGTATGATAATTCTAAAGTACGAGAAAGTATATCACACTACATTTTGATCAATGAGAAATCATTTTCAATTGTAAAAAAATTTGGTTTTAATCTAGTTTTAAAGTCAATGCCACATTTTTATTTAAAATATTCAAGAATAGTTGATCATAGTGACATAATGTTAATGTACGAGAAAAAAAGTTACAAAATACATTGAAAAGTATAAACTGAATCAATTTTACTCCATACTAACGGAAGTCAAAGAACCAAATAATTTCTTATATGGTTGTTACTACACATTATGTGGACTGTAGCTATAGGTTAAAGAAGCATGTTCTAAGTTTCCGACATTTACCTCATTCTCATGCAACTTTTGAAATTGTTGACACATTCTACAATTCAATTAATGAATGGGATCTAGAAAAGTTGATCATCATAAAGAAGGTGCTATAGATGACAACTTAGTTGCTTCTGACCAAATTCTTAGAGAGACGACTAGAAAAATGAAAGCAAATTTTAACAAGTATTTGGGGGAATGTAATCGGCTAATGACATTTGCTGAAATTATGGATCAAATGATGAAATTTTTTGGTATAGAGTTTGCATATCCCATGATTTATGATAGAGGTAAGAGTTGGCAAAATATTTCATATGTTTGTGTTTTGTTATTTGAATTGTATGAGGAATATGTTGCATGTATTGACCAAATTGAAGGTGCAGGTGGCACATTTAGATTGGAGAGAGCGACTTCAGCAGGGGAAAGTAGCAGTTCAAGAACAGATCATGAATTTGGATCAAGTATATATAGTAGGTAGCTCGATTTTATTACTTATGTCTCTAAAAAAATAAGTAAGAATGTGTAAAGTCATATTTAGATAAATATCTAAAGGATGGTATAAAGATTTGTTCAACTAACCGGACATTCAATATTATAACATGGTGGAAGAGCAACCAAATGAAATATCGCATATTATCAAGAATGGTTGTAGGCATCATAAATAATTCCAATTGGCACAGTTGTATCATAATCTACATTCTCAACAAGGGATAGAGTTGTTGATACTTATCATTTTAAATTGGGTGTTGAGACAGTACAAGCTTTGATATGCAAATCAACTTAGATTCGTTCACACTATAGATTAAAGGGCAAGATTAAGGTATAGATTTGTTATCTTTAATTTTTTTTTTAAATTGTTATTCATACTTACTATATGTTATATTAATAACATATTGTGATATATACTTTTTTGCTGTAAGATGAAGATGACGAGGAGATTGAGATTTCATTATCATCTATCTAAAATCTTTTTCAAGGTAAATTGCATCCTATTCTCTATCTTTCTACTCAAAGTCACATTGAAATGATTTAATGCAAAGAAGATAACTTTAATTTTTGTCATTTGCAGATTGTCAACAAACTGAATTCAAAGATGTTGGAGGCTTGGAAAATTTAGCTTTTATTTTATTTTATTTATTTATTTATTTATGGACTTTGTAAACTTCTAAAGGCATATTTATGTATTTTAGTTCACTGTTGGGTTGTATTTATCTATTTTAGTTTATTTGAGCTTGAGCTGACGAGGTGAGCTCGAGCCTAAGGTTCGGTGATACAACTCGAGTTCGTGCCACCTAAATATTATGCAAGCCAAATTTGAATTTGTTATGGCTCGAACTCGGCCTTACAATAATACATATGAATTCAATAACAGTGGCTTGCATGTAAATCCCTTAAATATTTTCAATAACTTAAATCTTAAATATCAAAATAAATAAAAAAATAACACAGAAAATGATGATAATTTGATTTGTTTTATTTTATTATTTTTGTTCTTAAAATTTTGAGCTAATTTAATTATATATATATATATATATATATATTATATACTAGTTACTGGTCGGATGGCTGCTCCCAACCAAAATATTTCCCGTCCTGTTTGTTGGATGGTTAGCGGTGGCGCATTCTTCGTCCGACCGGAAAAACATGGAAATACGACGGAGAGTGGCAACCTTCTATTGCTAACCTGAAGTCACTGTTCTTTGTTGCAGAGCTGAAAATTTTGGTAAAGAAATAAGGGTGTTGAAAAGGGAAAATTGGCGCCGGGCAGGGTGATTGGCTTCGCCTCCTCAATCAAAACCCTTGGGTTTTGTTTAGAGCCTGGGTTTTGCTGCCATGACTGCGGGTTTCTGCGGGAAGCGCCAAGAGTTCGAGGAAACATTTGGATCTCCGGCTTCGTCTCCCTCCACTAAGAGATCTCGCTGCTCAAACTACGGTTCGCCTATCCGTATCGCCGGAGTCGGAGTCGCGGACGAGGATAAGGTCTCGGTTCTTCTGCGCATGTTCCCTTCTATGGATAGGAAGGTGATTCTCTTTTCGTCAATCGATTTTTGGTTAGGCACTTTAAATTGACTTTATGGTCTCGGGTGAAGTTAGCAGTGAAGGAATAAATTGACAACCTCTGATTTATTTCCTTATTGTTTGTAGCATGCAAGAAATTGTAAATTCTTATGATGATACATGTCAAGAAGTATGAGGGCACTAATTGGGGTGGTTGGATGACTATAATTGGGTGGCTATAGTGGTTGGAAGAATTAATCATGTAAAGTGATGAAACAGATTGTAGTCGGACGAAGTTAGTTGGAAGGAGCATATTATGAAAATGATGTTCAAAGGATCATAATCAGGTAACGATGGTTAGAGGACTGTAATTGGGTGACATAGGTCGGAGAATTGTAGTCGGACAACAGTTATTGGAGAATTGTTGATGGACGATCGAGGTAGGAGGACTGTAATGGAGCGATGGTGGTCGAACTAATCTAGCTGAGCGAGTGTAGTTGGAGGACCTTAGCCACACGATGAAGTTCAGAGAACCGTAGCCAGACGATGGAGTTCGGAGGACCGTAGTCAGGCAACGATGTTTGGAGGATCACATTTAAGCAACGGAGGTTGGAGGATGGTAGTCTGATGATGGTGGTAAAATGACTGTAAACAGGCGATGAAAGCTCGAAGATCATAGTCATGTGATGGAGATTATAGGGCACGAATGATGGAGGTTGGAAGACCGTAGTTAGATGACAGAAATTAGTACACAAGCGATGGAGATCATATGACTATAGTCAGCTAACTTTTGCTAAAGGGCCATAGTTGGCAACAATTGTCAAAGGAACATGATGGTGGTCGGGCAATAGTGGTGTGATGATGACAGTTTCATGCTGGTTCTATGACAGCAATCGGGTGGTATTTTGATCGTGGTGGTCGGATGGTGTTCTAATGGCGACATTTGGGCAATGTTCTGATGGTGGCATTTCGACAATGTTTCAACAACATCAATCAAGTGATCGTTAGAAGATTGCCTGATGTAGGCGCTCGAGTGGATCTCTAAGATTTTTAGTGTAAATTTTCTTAAGTAAAAAGAAGCTAAACTTTTAAACATCAAGTTGACTTTTGGTGTAGTTGTTGGAATTTTATTGAAAAACTCCAAAGTTAAGAGTGCTCCTGCAGGAGCAATTCTGAGATGTGTGACCTCTCAGAAATTTATAGTAATGGGACAAATCCGTGAGGCAATTAAGCCAAAACGGATAATACCTTTGTATTTGAGAGTTTGGGTTGTTATAAAATGGTATCAAAGCAATGCACCAGCAGGAAGATAGTAACTAAGTGTCATACATGACAAAGTGGTACACAATAGGAGTCATCTTTTGAACCCTATGTGGGATAAAGCGCTACATGGCGGAAGCCACCACTTAAACTTGTAGAAGTCACCTCTAGAATTTTATCTTCTTTATGGATGATTCTTGATAAGGATACTGATAAGAACATAAATTACTTAAGGAAGATTGTGAAACCGAGAACCGTAGCCAGACGATGGAGTTCGGAGGACCGTAGTCAGACAACGATGTTTGGAGGATCACATTTAAGCAACGGAGGTTGGAGGATGGTAGTCGGATGATGGTGGTAAAATGACTGTAAACAGGCGATGAAAGCTCGAAGATCATAGTCATGTGATGGAGATTATAGGGCACGAATGATGGAGGTTGGAAGACCGTAGTTAGGTGACAGAAATTATTACACAAGCGATGGAGATCATATGACTATAGTCAGCTAACTTTGGCTAAAGGGCCATAGTTGGCAACAATTGTCAAAGGAACATGATGGTGGTCGGGCAATAGTGGTGTGATGATGACAGTTTCATGCTGGTTCTATGACAGCAATCGGGTGGTATTTTGATCGTGGTGGTCGGATGGTGTTCTAATGGCGACATTTGGGCAATGTTCTGATGGTGGCATTTCGACAATGTTTCAACAACATCAATCAAGTGATCGTTAGAAGATTTCCTGATGTAGGCGCTCGAGTGGATCTCTAAGATTTTTAGTGTAAATTTTCTTAAGTAAAAAGAAGCTAAACTTTTAAACATCAAGTTGACTTTTGGTGTAGTTGTTGGAATTTTATTGAAAAACTCCAAAGTTAAGAGTGCTCCTGCAGGAGCAATTCTGAGATGTGTGACCTCTCAGGAATTTATATTAATGGGACAAAACCGTGAGGCAATTAAGCCAAAACGGATAATACCTTTGTATTTGAGAGTTTGGGTTGTTATAAAATGGTATCAAAGCAATGCACCAGCAGGAAGATAGTAACTAAGTGTCATACATGACAAAGTGGTACAAAATATGAGTCATCTTTTGAACCCTATGTGGGATAAAGCGCTACATGGCGGAAGCCACCACTTAAACTTGTAGAAGTCACCTCTAGAATTTTATCTTTTTTATGGATGATTCTTGATAAGGATACTGATAAGAACGTAAATTACTTAAGGAAGATTGTGAAACCACTTAAAAAGTTAATTTTTTAAACATCAAGATATCTTTTGATATAATTATTGAAATTTTATTGATGCCTTAATCAAAAGTTCTCTCTCGTTACCGGGAGGGGTAATTAATTATAGGGGCTTGCATCTATAGGAAATTAGAACTCATATCTAAAGTCCTCGCAAAATGTGGATGAAATCTCTGGGTAGTGTCTTATTTCAAACCCAATTTGCCTTCTGAAAGTACTTAGGAACATAATTCATTAAAGCTCTCTCGAAAGAGAGGAGGTCGGGGCGCGAATTTTTGGAGCCCACACCAAGCTAAAGTCTCGATTACTGGGGTTTAGCATTGCTTGAATTTGGCATGCGCAATGGGAAGAAGGGAAAGATTGCTCGGTCATTTCCAAGCTATAGTCTCGACTGCTGGGGTTTGACAAAGTGCAGGTCTCCGTTTGCCTTCTATAAATACCCTCCCACCATTCATGACATTAAGGTCTTCAGTCTTTCTACTGTTAATTTATTATTTTTTACCCCTTTTTAAAGAGTCAATAAACCAAATTATGACTTTTATATAATCGGGAATTATTTTGATCCTTTAGAAAGAGTCAAGGGACCAATTCAGTCCTTATATATATATATATATATATATATACACGCTCATACGTGTGTGTGAGAGAGAGACCTAAGTTTCCAGCTTTTCTGTGATTTTTGCCTGTGGAATTGTTACAGATTTTTTCCAGTTCACTTGCAGAAGCTGAACCTGAGAACCAACTTGTGCTAGTCTAACTATTTTTCTGGGTACATTCGTGACTGTAATGAAACAGCAAACTGATTACTAGTTCCAAGGTCTGTTTGGATCGGTTCATTGCTCATTGTGAGATGTGAATCTATGTATTTCCCTAACTTATGTTGGAATTTTTTTGATTTCACATCATTATGTGTTATGTCAGTTATCATTACTTGCAATGTTCCAGCAAGCGTCTTGTTAAAAGTACCCAATTCATAGTGTCCTCTCCAATGTAGGGTATAGGGAGGGACTCTTCTAAATAAAATCTAATTAAAACCTACATTTATGAATGAAAATGCTCCTTGTAAGTTGTACAATGCTGCTGTCATGGTGATAGGATGCAATTGTTTTTCATTTTAAGAATTTTCAGATTGGCTTTTTAACCAATCCTGAGTAGGTCCTGGAAACTATTCTAAACTCCCATGATAACAACATTGATGATGCCATCAAGAATCTTCATGCTCTTTGCCTTGGTGAAACTTTAGTGAGGGATAAACCTGTTTATATTAGTTCAGAGCTCAAATCAGAAGAAAATGAAAGAGAAGGTAGGAAACAATCAACACAGTATATCTTCAGGTTTTCTTCTCATGTTTATTGCTTGTTTTTCATGCCTTACTGAGACTTTTATCTGCTTGCTTGAGGTAGGTGCTATAAATGCACAGAATACTGAAGTGAAGGCTGCAGTCTTTCCTAATGTTGAGTCTAATCTTGGAATAAAGGAAACTCATGGATCCTCATGGGTGGATATATTTGTCCAAGAAATGATGAACGCATCAGATTGGCATGATGTCAGGAACCGAGCCATTAAGATTTTGGAATCTTTTAAACAAATGATTGTTACCCAATCTACTTCCTCAAAGGAGGTAACTGATGAATAAACTGTAGCTTTTAAGATTTCAGTTACAGAAGAATTATGCTCATAGAAGTTTTTCTTTTTAATTCATTCAACAAGTGCTGATTTTATTGCATTTTCACTTGGGGCAGCAAGAGATTGCTTCTCTGAAGGAGCAGTTGCAGTGCTTGTTGAGAGATAATCAAATTCTAAAGAGGGCTGTTACAATTCAACATGAACACAATTCCGAATTTTCAGAGAAGCTTAAGGAAGTGCAACAGCTGAAGAATATAATTAGTCAATACCAAGAGCAAGTCCGCACATTGGAGGTAACTTGGATAACATTTCAGCTCACTTCTACCTTATACACATCTGTCATAGCACCAAGAAGTTTTTGTTAATATTAGTTGACAACAAGGAAGTACACCTGTTCCATTTGATTTACATTGGAGTTTATTTTCAACCGCTTCTTGAGTTTTAATCTTCTATGCTTAAGTCAATTGACACTAGTCTTCATGCCTTAACAAGAAATTCATGACTTCATAAGAAAGTTTTATGCAGAGAAGATTGTAGAGAGTACTTGTTGATCTATGTGGATTGGGTTTTTAAAAACAACTTCTTCAAAAAGGGGTAAAATTCATTCTAAATATATATTCACAAAAGAATGTGAAGTATAAAGTGAAGCCCAATTCATTGAAAAGAATTAAAATTCACTTTAAAGATTGATTTATGCACAAGAAGGCAAGTAATGAAGTGAAGCGTGGGATCACGAGAGTTGAGAGTGTTGAAACAAAAAATGAATAAACCGTACAACCAAAGATTTATAGTTGCATATCTTCTCAATCAATCATTCCCCCTCCCCCTTGTAGAAACTTAATCGAATGCCAATACAAGAGAGGAGAAAGAAGAAGAACTTTCTTGTTCTACTGTGACAGAGAAAATGTGAAATGTATTTTCATATCTCCTGAATACAAACTAGTGCTACTATATATAGACAGTTTTAATTACAGATGCCTACGTGTAATATTCCTATTGGATGACAAGAATAGACGTTCGTTATTGATGTTCTGATATCCCCCCGCAAGCTAACGAATCTTGTTGGATTGTTAGTTTGTCCCTAAGCATTTTGAACCGTGCCGTGGATAGAGGCTTCGTTAGGATGTCAGCGATCTGATCAACGCTGCTGATCGGGAGTAGTCGAATGTTATTATTCTGAATGTTGTCCTGAATAAATCGATGATCGATTTCAATGTGCTTTGTTCTGGCATGAAACACAGGGTTGTGTGCGAGTGCTATGGCTGAGGTATTATCACAGTGTAGATGTGTTGGCTCCGATAGAGATATGCAGAAATATGATAAGAGACGCTGTAGCCAGAGAATGTCCGCTGTGGCAGCTGCAAGTGCGCGGTATTCTGACTCAGTAGATGAGCGCGATACCGTCTTTTGCTTCTTCACCGTCCAGGAAATCAGGTTGTCACCTAGGAATGTGCAATAGCCAGAGGTAGATTTGCGTGTGATCGGGTCTCCCGCCCAGTCCGCATCAGAGAATGTCCGAAGATGAAGACTGGATTTTGTGATGGGTAGGCCGAACGTTAACGTTCCTTTGATATACCTCAGGAGCCTTTTGAGGAGATAGTAATGCTGAGGCTCGGGATTATGCATATGCGGAGATAGTATATTGACGGCGTATGCAATGTCGGGGCGTGTTATCGTTAGGTACTGCAGTGCTCCTGTGATCCTGCGATAGACGTTCGGGTCCGACAGTTCCTTGTCCTGCAGCATTTGAGAAGGAAGTTTGGTACAGGAGGGGTTGGTTAAGGGGTTACAATTTAGAAGATGAACTTGTTGAAGAATGGATTGAGCATAAGAAGATTGGGAGAGGAAATACTGAGCTGGTTCAGTGGCTATGTTGATGCCCAGTGAAGAAAGGCATTTGCCACATTCAGTTGCTTAATCTGCCAGCCGTTATGGAGAGCGATTGTGAACATTAGACGAATTGTGGGAAGCTTCGCTACCGGACTAAATGTTTCATCATAGTCCAGCCCGTGTTCTTGACGATTTCCCTGAGCTACAAGACACGCCTTGAATCTTGCTATTGTGCCATCGATATTGTATTTCTTACGGAATGTCCACTTACATCCCAAAACAGAAGCAGCTGGAGGCGGTGGGATTAAATCCCATGTGCCCTGTTTTTGTAGAGCGAGGAACTCGTCCGCCATAGCATGTCGCCATTCTTGAAATTTACTGGCTTCAGAGAAGTTGGTTGGTTCGGGCAATTCATGAGGCGATGTTGTGGAATGAAAGAGATTGAGTCTACATATTGGTTTAAGTGATCCGGTTTGCTTCCTGGTGACCATGTGGTGACGGGGTGGCTGAGCGAAATCAGAGTGTATTGATACCGAACGAGAGTCAGACGAATGAATGAAATTGTCCGTTGATCTTGGCCACGATGGAAGATTAGTTGTGATATTATGATTCGATATGGGTCTGAGTTATTGTGGAGGTGGATGTAGAGCCTGATGAACTACCGATGTAGGTAGTAGCATTGACGCTGGTATGTCCTGAGGTGTGGTAGTAGATATAGAATTAGTTTGATGAAAAGGAAACGAGTTTTCGATAAATTTAACGTGACGAGAAACAGTAATGCGATTTGTGTCTTTGTGAAGGCATTTGTATCCTTTTTTTATTAACTGCATATCCTAGGAATATGCAGGAAGTCGAATTCGGATGAAGTTTGGACCGAGAGTGTTGAGGAAGCAAAGGGAAGCATTCACACCCAAATGTCCTGAAAAAAGAATAATCTGGTTTAGTATTGAACATTAGTTTAATAGGAGCTTGGTTGGCACTGTTAGGAGACGGGAGACGATTAATCAGGTAGACTGCTGTTGTCACAGCATCTGGCCAGAACGAATGAGGAACCGATGCCGTCTGGAGAAGGGTCCTCGCCGTGTCTAAAATATGCCGATGCTTGCGTTCAACAACTCCGTTTTGCTCGGGTGTGTAAGGGCAGGAGGTTTGATGCTGGATGCCGTTGGCTTGTAGATGATTTTGAAAAATGCTGTTGACAAACTCCCCGCCTCCGTCCGTGCGGATGGCTTTGATTTTACGACCTGTCTGTCTTTCAATAAACGTAATAAAGTTAATAAACGTTTTTGCGACATCGGATTTATGTATTAGAGGAAACAACTAGCAAAATCGCGAGTAATCATCGACACAGAGTAGATAATATCGAAAATTTTGGTTCGAGATAATTGGGGAGGGCCCCCATACATCTGAATGAATGAGATCTAAGGGATTAAGAGTTATGTGTACAGAGTTATCAAATGACAACTTATGACTCTTACAGACTTTACATGGAATACATGGACTGTAACTTCTTGGTATATGAAGCGACGAATTGTCGAAGGCGATCAACTGGAGAATTCTGTTGTGCGGATGTCCTAATCTAATGTGCCAGTTTATGGATTCCATTTGCGAAGCCGACATTGCCTGATGCTGGGAAGACTCTTTCTTGACAGTGAGCGGATACAGCCCATTCCTACAGGGGCCTTGAAGTATGACTTTGTGAGTCTGTAAATCCTTGAAAATAAAACCATCAGGCGAGAATGTAATTGAGATTTGATTAGCGGTAACCAAATTTGAAATAGATAAAAGATTGTGAGAGATAGAAGGGATATGTAGTAAATTGGATAGAAACAACTTACAATCCGGGGTTGGAAGAATACCAGTGCCCGAGTGAGCGATCGGTATAGTTCTTCCGTCCCCAACCGAGACGTGGTCGGATCCAGTATACGCTGAGGCTTGATCAAGATTCTCAGAGCGGTTCGTCATGTGCGTAGACGCCCCGGAGTCTAGATACCAATCAGTAGATGAGGTATCTGCTGTGACCATAAGCGCATTGGCGTTTTCGGATGACTATTTTGGGGTAATGTAATTTGCGTTGTGACGATGCCAGCATATGTCAGCCGTGTGACCTCTTTTTGTACATATCTGACATTGGAGAGAAGATCTTGAGCCGGTTTTGTTAGTTGAGCTGGATGTCTGATTACTGCGACCCCTGCCGCGACGGCCGCGCCCCTGTTAGCGTACAATGAAATATTGTTGTCCGTGTGGATGGCGAGATGCTGAAGATCAGCTTGAATATGTATCTCTTCGCTAATCAAGAGTGCGTATAAATTTTCCAATGTCATATTAGACTGCATTGTTCTGATTGTCGTTTTAAACGATTGATAGGCCGGTGATAATCCGTTGAGGATATATAGAATGATATCTTCTGTATCAATGGTAGCCCCGGCCGATGCTATGTTGTCTACCAGCTTCTTGATTTCAGACAAGTATGTTTGCATTGACTGATTCTTTATTGAGATGTTGTGTAACTCATTTTTGAGTTGGATCACTTTTGACCGGCAAGAAGATTGAAATCTTACTTGAAGCGCATGCTAGATTTCATGTGTCGCTTCAAGATGCATCACATAAGGTAAGATAGGGGCGGAGATGGTTGAGCAGAGCGCCGCCGCCAAATTTTGGTCGGTGATGAGCCAGCTGTTAATGTCGTCGGCGTCAAATTCTTGATTTCTTGACGATCCAGCATCGGATGACGGAGGATCCAAAATTTTGGCAAAGCCATTTGCCTTGAAAACTTTGAGAATTTGATTTCTCCAAATAGGATACGTCTCCAACGAGAGTTGATGCGTAACTAATGTTTTGAGATTGAAAATGATAAATTTGAGTGAGGAGTAGATCTGAGAGGATTCTGTGGTGGCACCTGTGCTGCCGGAGACGGCGGAGGTGGCCATGGGTTGATGTCCAGAGATTCAACCCGCTTCTGATACCATGTAGAAACTTAATCGAATGCCAATACAAGAGAGGAGAAAGAAGAAGAACTTTCTTGTTCTACTGTGACTGAGAAAATGTGAAATGTATTTTCATATCTCCTGAATACAAACTAGTGCTACTATATATAGACAGTTTTAATTACAGATGCCTACGTGTAATATTCCTATTGGATCACAAGAATAGACGTTCGTTATTGCTGTTCTGATACCCCTCACCAAGCGCCCAATTGCCTCGCTCCTCTGATTGTGCATTGTAACAATACCACTCAAATCCACATTTCCCATTACATTTTGAAATGTAAGACCACCTATGTTGCATTGCTCAGGATATATGATCCCAACCCCTTCTAAGATGGCATTAACACAATCTACGTGACCGTTGCATTTTCCTTCATTGGATGCTTTCTATCTCTCCTACTAAGCCACTGACAATGACTTGACAATTGGCTCTTCATCCTCAATACTTCTTGGAATAAACCTTTTGCTACTTACTCATTCTCCACCCTTGATGTGAGAAATTTGATGAGATCAATGAATTACTTTACAAACAATAAAAAAGTACGATATTTATTTGCAAGCAATAAAACAATTCTTAGTAATCAAAATACAATTTATTTATTTTCCTCAGTGTTTTCAAAATAATTGCAACTAAATTGCCCTAAATCCAGATCTTTTTTAGGGATCAATATTAACCTTGATAAGGAGAAAGATTAATATAAACAAATGCTAGATATATTAACACAAATACAAAGAAGAAAGAATTTTACAATAGGGAGCATTATACTAAGTCTTTCTAAGATGGAAAAACTTCTTATGCTTGACAATTGACGAAGTGATATTGTGCGGAAGACAATTAGAATATCAATTAAACTTACAAAACTTCGTTTTAAAAGAAGGTAATTAAGGAGAGCACATTGCACCCTTACTGGAAGCATACAAGAGGTAGCTAGTCCAATGAAATTTCATGTAGCATGTAATTGATAACATTTGGAAGGTTTCTAAGCTAATGGTAGGTTACTAGTTATATATTCTGGTAAAAAATTAGAACTCGAGGGTATCAAAGAATAACAGGTTATGTTCACTCATTATTAAATGTGACACATAATCTCTACTAGCCAAGTTGACATAAGTGATTAGTCAAACAACCATTACTAAATAAGATAGATTACCTCTAAGTTGACAAAATCTATCCAGTTCAAATCGTTCAGCCTTGTTGGTCAAATTTGCTAAGTTGACTCAACTTGGTTAAAACATAATTTTGAACTAATCAGCCAAGTTTATCCAACTTGATTGGTAACCAACTTGGCTGACCATAGGCTTCTCCAGCCTCTCAGGCAAGTTGACCCAAGTTAGTTAAATGGATGAATTTTTTAGTTTTGATCCAAATGGTTATGGAAGTTTTCAAGGAGGATTTGACTAATTTGGTCATTTGTCACATTCTTTGTAAAAGGTTTTGAAATTGTGAATTTTATAAATAGGCATCCAAGAGTAATTTTTTATTTGGAAGATGCTCTTATATGCCTTTTTTTAAGATGTTGTTACGCATAAAATGGGCACAAGGTAATTTTTGGGGCATTATGCTGGGTACAAGTATGAACCCACAAGAGGAGCTAAAGAAAATCATTATAACAACAAATAGGACTCAAATTTGAGATCTAAACTGTAGCAACTAAGGAATATATTTTATGAGCAAATACTTTTGGTAAGACTATAATATACTTATATAATTAAACCTGAAATAAAAGAATAAGTAATTAAACTCCTTAGGCAAGGCTTTCAGTAACAACATTTTGCTTATTTGATACTTTATTATAATCCACACTAGAAAAGATGGGACTGCCAAAAGCTTGTGCTCTTTCAGTAACACTATCTGGAAGAATCATTTGTACAATCATCATAACGCCTGTATTTCTGAGGTGAATTTAAATTTGCAAACTCTTAAGCATAATCTTTTTATTTTTCTCAAGGAAATCATTCCCTTAATTGCGCCCCATGCAAGACTAGGATTAAGATGGTTATCTTCAAAAAATTTAGGCGATTTGATCAAATGGTTGTGACTGAATTGTGTTGAGCAGGATGGTGGGCTGGTATGCACAAGTTGATGTTCGGTGATATTGGTAACTTGAGAAAAGAAGGCCTCACTCCTGGAAAATTATTATGTGCGGCGTCCGGATTCGTACATAGGCGAATCTGGACGCGCCATATCACCCGGGACCTAATGCATCCGGGTGGCGTGGCGCGTCCGGATTCGCCTCCGGACGATCCGGACACCGCACGTAATAATCTCTACTCACTCCGTTACCAAAATAATGTTAAGTTGGTGAAACAGGAGCAAATGAGAAAACTTAGGTGTAGATGAAGGACCCAAACAATAGGGGAGAGAAAAGGGAGACAATATAGTCAATTTTTTCTATCATTCCATAAGAATCCCAATTGCAATTTCATACACCCATATTTATTGAAATAAAAATAAGATAAACTAATTAGAACGCCTGTTTTTACTTGAGCATTATAATCCAAATCCTTTTAAACTTACGTTGCAGTTGAACAATTATACATTGAAGATTCATCTCCAGAGGGCTCAGGAGGCCACCTCCATTCCAGGTCGTTTTCATCCAGACATTTTCTGATGATCAAACGGCTCTGAATCTATCTACTACCCACTTAGTGCGTCAGAATTCTTCATATATTCATAAGGCGAGGTCATGGCTTAGGTGTCATGGCCCAATTCTTCAACAATTCTGTAATAAATATGCCACCATGGGCACATGCAACTCAAGTTGGTTCTCAGCTGATGAAGAGGCGTAATTTGTGCTGATTTTCTTTGCCTGAGCCATAAAGAGTAGCTTCGGCATTAATTTCTTGCAACTTGGATTTGATTGATGGTGAATTCAAAATAGGTTTAGTTTGGGATATCTTTCTTGCTACTTCTTAAAGCAGCTTTAATTTTTGTACTATAAAGCTGCTTTAAGAAGCAGTAAGACCGTCATCCCAAATGAAACCTTAGGCTTTCAAGGGGCATACGTAAAGTTAGTATTTTCCATCAATTGAGAGTATCTAGTCACATGATTCTTATGACTACTACTATGTTTTCCATCATATGAGATTGCTTGCTTCTATTGATTTTCTTTGATGCAATTGTAGCATTGTAAATTGAATCGAAAAAGAAAAGAAAAAAAAAATCTATCTAGTAAATTCTTAGACAATAATTATTTATTATGTTAGATTATAGGGGTTATTTGGTGGGAAGCATTTGAAAATATTTTTCTGTTTTTTAGCGTGTTAGATATTTATTTTATAGCAAGGAAATATGAAGTAAAATTTGTCTTGAATTTAAAATAAAGAAAGAAGATTTAGGCTAAGTTATTGATGTAATAAATTGATAAAAATAGTGATAAATAATAATATGAGAAATAGGAAGAAATTATTTAAGGTGAGAAAGGAAGATGTAATTTTTATCTATTATTAATAATTTTATTCTTGAAAAATATTTCTCAAATTTAAGAGAAAATTTAATAAGATAGCGATGGGACCTATAATGATTTATGATGTAAACTATTGCCATTAAGAGATAAGCATAAAACTAAATATTGTACATATGAGGATGCTCATGTGGACAAATGGTTTTATACTTATATTTTGTTTGAGATAATTTTTTAATTATTTTATGAAACAGTTTTTTTGTACAAATATTTTTAATTTAAAATTTTTTGTACTAAAATTTTGTTTCATAAAATTGTAAAACTGTCTCAAAGGAAGCTTTAAAGACAGTGAGAAACTAGTATATACAAAAAGGTATAAATAGCTTCAATGGCATATATGACTAGAGAGTTGTCTTAGATGGTTTGGTCATATAAAGCATTGGCCTTATGAAACAACTCAGATAAGATAGTTGATGTGTTAGATCCGGCCTATGTTAAGAAAGATAGATGTAAATATAAAAAGATTTGATTAGAAAGTATTATAAATGATATTTTTTTATTAGATTTAATTGACAAATTGGCTTTGAATATAACACAGTCGAGAAAAAAGATTTATATAGTTGATCTCCCATAATGGGATAAAAATTTTATATTAATTTATTTGTTGCGTGCTAAAAATTTTGAGTTAGTGGAATGCATATTTTATGTCTTAGCATTGCACAAAAATTCAACACGAACAAATAAAAATATTAGGACAGGAAAAATTTTTACGTGAAAAACCTTGAAAGAAAAAAAAACACGGGCCTGACCCCAGTTGAAAAAGCCATTAGATAATAAGTGATACAAAGATCTTGCTTTTTTCACTATTGAAGAAGAAAAGTGCAAAGATTAGGTGTCCACAGAAGGACATTCTATACCCAGCAACTGGGCTTAATTTTCTCAAAAGGGATTTTAGAAAATTGATCTCCACATGTGGACAAATATATCCAACAGCAGAGTTAAATCATCTTAATATTCTTGAGAAAACAATGATTTTTGAAGCTAGCCATCGTTGGCATGGTGGTTGTCGATGGCAATAACTGGTGGTGGTCATCGACGACGATGGTTGGAAAATGCAAGAGAGCTCCACTCTCTTCTCCATTCTTCGTTCCCATCATATTAAGAATGAGAGCATATTTATAGGTTTTTGTGAGTGGTTACTCCATAAATATAGAGAGAATTTATGACAGATTAGGAGTGCCCCATCAATGGTTCATATTGATTCCCTTAACCATAGAGCTCTCATCAAGTATTTAAGTGTCTTAATGATGTCAGAATTAAGTAATCTCGGTCTCGTTGGATTCGTCTCATCGAGTTGCTCGATTTGACTATAATCATGTCATATTTGAAAATCATTTGATTACTCAATTTTTACTTTAAAACTTCTAATTACATTTCAGTCCACTAATTCGAGCCCATTTGAACTCAGATTAGACCGATTTTGATGTCATTGGGTTCATCTTGTTGAGAAGATTAATTTGACTACAAAGTATACTATGATCAATATTTGAATGGTCCAAAATTTAATTTTGAAAGTTTCTAATTTAAATATGTCTCGAAATTAGTGCTTGATAAAAATATTTTTGATGACCTATCAATATTAATAATTGTATTAGGGTCTATGTCCTCATATTTTTTTAAATACATGTTGTATTAATTTTCTTTTAAAGAACGAGCTCGCTACTTAGTTTATAAAATTTGAGAGAGCTGTAACAGCCTCGGTGATGACAATGGTTGACGTTACGATGTCTGCGCAATGCTGATGGGAGGAGGTCCCCACCACATTGTGGTCGATTAGAGCAAATTGCAGACAGTGGTCAATATGTGCGGTCGGATCGACGGTTCCATTTACGCATTTAGCCGACGAGGCGGGTCCAGCATTATATATACATTATTAAATGCACACGCTGCCATTCTTTTTGATCATGTGTAAGGACCTAAGGTGGGGCCCTCCAAATCGTCGTTTTTATGCTGCTATTGGTGAGTACAAACCGTATAGTCCTCGTGAAAATGATTAGGAGCTTAATAATTGAAGAAAGTTTTATTAATCTAATTATTCAAGATTTGTCTTTGTAAAATTTATTTTTATTAACATAAATTTAGAGATTATGTTAAAGAATTCTATTGTATTGTCTTATGATCATCATCAAAGATCATCTATAGCAATTGTTGTTACTTGACTATCAACTTCTAACTCCATTATTCAGGTTTAATTATCATTTTGTTGACATTAGATTTTTGTAATCCCTATAATTGAAGTCATAGTATTCTCAACTATTAGGTTCGAGCCCTCTACCTACTTTGGTGGAGCTCACCTTAGATCTAGGGTCTGAGGCGGTTCGTCTAGTTATGACGTAAGTCCTCACCTCTTAGGCATTCCCGCGATCTTGTGTCGTCAGGTCATACAGTCTCATCTTCGCTTCAATTGTGAGGAATGGAGATTTTTTATATCTTATATTTTTTTGGTTGATTCATTCAACCAGATTGAGGCTCATGAATTTTCCCCTTCTTGGAATTTTCATCGATCTAACAAAGTATGTCATCTCACAACTTTTATCTATGTGTGCTTTTTGTACAAAGCTATGATTATAAGCATATGCTCTATTGTCATAAATTTTCTAGCACGTACGCAATAATTTATCATCGTTTATAAGAGTAATACCCGACATAATGCAAATATTTCTTCAATGTCTGATGATAAATCCCTCTTTCAAATACATAATAATTTAGGTGGTTGAGATTAGTCAAATCTCACTTTGGAGGATCATATGCATATGCTGTAACTCTTAGAGGAGTTTGAAAAATAAAGAGCATCATCACAGTCCGATGAAGTTCTCCAACCATAAAATCAACAATAGTTTAATGATGATTCACAAATGCAGTGCCTTCTAATGTTGCAATTTCCACTCCATAATGGCCCCATTAAATTTTCTCAAACCCTATCAATTCAACACATCCTTCTCATGTTGTATGGCCAACTTGTAATCCCACATCAATCATAAAAGATTTAAATCAACATCATATTATTAATTGATACCCCTCATAATGTTATAAGAAATATGTTAGAATGTCTTATTCCTGAAAATTTTGCATAAAAGAAGGGAACTAATTTATCCCTTACCTTAATATTCAAGAATATTCGCCCCTAACTCATGCAATTATCTAGCATCCAATTCTAATAAGATTTAAGTTACCTACAATTGATCCATATGATGGGATTGTTGAACCCCTATGAGCACATTGACCACTACAAGACCATTGTACACATTCAACATGCTTTGGATGTAGTCATTTGCTAAGTATTTCTTACTGATCATCTTAAGGGATAAGCTTGCACGTGATTCTATTCTCTTTAAATACAATTATACATTTTTAAAAATCTAGCCAAAATTTTTATTAAATAATTCATCGCTAATCAAGAATAATCAATGACTCCTCCTATCTATCAAAGATTCACTAAAATGAGGGAGGGACTATAAAGAATACTTTTAAAGATTTTCTTAAGCACATAAAATGTTAAGAGTGGAACTATAGTTATTATAATAAATTTTTCTTGGAGAACTTCTGTAACAACCCAAAAATTTAAAATAAATTTATTTGAAAAACATGCAATTTGATCCAGTAGGCAGCGCTAGGCTAGCAAGCGCAACGACGCTTAGAGCTCAATGACGTCGGGAAAGCACCGCCGTGGCGTCGAGCTCTATATTATGTAGTAACTCTGGGGTTGATGTGTACTGCGCGCAGCAACGCTAGCTAGATCTTGGGCATCGCAGTGTGAGACACTAGCAATAGTTTTTTTATATTTTTCATTTAGATATCCCTACCATCCCACCTTACCTCCCCTCATTTATTTGTCTTGCTGGGGAAGGAAAGAAAGGATGAGAAGAGAATAAGGGAGATAAAAGAGAGAGAAAGTGCTTCAAGTTGTTTTCGTATGTCGCTTATGTTATGAATTTTATTTTAATTGATATAAGTAACTATGCTCTTACTTCCATTTTTTATGATTTTGATTTCTAAAATTTTATCTCCCTTGAATCTACCAAAAATGTATTTTCTACATATTGATCAAACTTTTACTATATAATTTTTTGATAGATATGATTCTTATCAGTATTTTAATTATAATATTATTAAATTTCATCAAATATACTGATAGTTATAATTTACTAAGGTAAATGAATAGTATTTAAAATTTCTTCCATTTTATAGATTAATGCATTTCACAACTGATATTGATATTATATAATAAAAATGATATGATTGATATAAGATAAATGTGATATTTGTATCTAAGTAGGAAAGGATGATTTTCATGACTATAATTCATAGGAGTTTACTCTTTAAACATAATATTATGTACATGAAGGTGGATCGACGTGCTTTCTTTAGATTTGTCATGTAATCCTGATTGTAATCCAAGGGTCAATTGATCTAATTACACCAACGAGTAGGTAGTGGTGACTCTTAATGATTTATTGAAAGTCACATGTGAATTGATTTTAAGCATACTCTCTTAGGCTGGTATAAAAATATTGAGGATGATATTTTTTGAAGGTAAGCAGATTATAATAACCTAAAAGTTCAAAATAAATTTATTTTCAAAATATAAAAAGTTAATCCAACATGCAGTTTCACGGTGCTGAACTGGCAAGCGCAACGGGGCTTAAAGCAGTGTCGCAAAGAAAACGTCGCTATAGCGCTGAGCTCTCTATTCTACAGTAACTCTGAGGAGGCATGTAGCACATAGGTGCTAGACACAGAGGTGCTAGACACTAAAATATATATTTTTAATAATTCTCATTTAAATATCCCTATCATCCTACCTTACATCCCCTCATTCATTTGGTTTGTTGGCGAAGGAATGAAATGAGGAGATAAGAAGTGAGAGAGAAGAGAGAGGAAGTGCTTTGAGGTGTTTTCGAATATCGCTCTTTTTATGGCTTTTGTTCTAATTGATGTAAGTAATTATAATGTTACTCTTATTTTTTGATGATTTTTATTTCTAAGATTTTTAGCTCTCTTGAATCTACCAAAAATATATTTTCTCACAATTTACCAAACTTTCATAATGTAAGTTTGTGTATATAATAGATATAAATCTTATGAGTTTTTTAATTGTAATATTGTTAAATTTAACTAAGTAAATTGATAGTTATGATTTCCTAAAGTAAATAAATAGTATTTAGATTTTCTTATATTTCATAGATTAATGCATTTCATTCATGATATTAATATTGCATGAAAAAAATGATATGACTAATATAAGATAAATATGTCATTTGCATGTAAGCAAGAAAGGTTGATTGTCAACACTATAATTAATATGGGTTGATACATGAGGGTGGGCCTATGTGATTTCCTTAAAATAAAGATTTACGGTGTAATCATGGTTGTAGCCTATAAAGCAATTGATCAAATTATGCTTACAGATAAAGAGTGGTGATTCTGAATGATTTATTAAGAACCACTTAAGAATTGATATAAGATTTATGAAAAAAAAATAATAATAATAAGATAAAGATTAAAAAAAAAAGATAAAGATTTATGATCAAGTGGTCAAGAGTTGGGATTAAATTAAAGATTAATAACCAACTGGTCAACTATTAGGTTTGAAGATCTTGAAAACACCACATTAAAATTGGAATTCCCACCTTACGAGTTATATTTATATTCATATTTCCATTTATATAACATCATATGATTTGATTAAATATTTTAATAGATATAACTAATGTAGAATTGATAGAACCAGTATTAAGACTAATATAATATGACTTATATATAGCATATGATATGGGTCACTGATAGATATTGATAGGCATATTGATACATTGCATTGATAAGCTTATTGATATAGTATATTGATATAACATACTAATATGGCACATTGATATATAGTTATATATGACATATAGAATTAAGGAAACATGTGATAGAACCATCAACATAAATATAATTGATAGATAATGAAGGCTTATTTCACTATGCAATACATATTATTAATTGATAATCTTTTTATCAAATTTTTAATAGATTGATAAACTTATTTTTCTTATTGAATAATATAGTTTTACTGACTCTATTAATTTTGCTTTTGATTAATATTATTTTCATATATTACTCATTGTTAATATTGAAAGCTTATTGAGTGATATTAACTAGAACTGAATCAAACATATTGATTTATTTGCCTTGCATTGAATGCAGTGGTAAATTTAAATTATTTGCTAAGCTATAAGCTCATGCATTGTGTAGTTTTTACATTATTTCATAGAAGGATAAGGAGCCTATGGAGTAAGGTCGGTTAGTGGGTGATAGTTTACATTTTATTTCTCATTGTTTGATTTTATATGTTATTTTATAGCCTATTGTTGGCAATTATATATGATATATATTTTTAGGAACTTGTTAAATATATAAATATTCTATAAATAGTAATGTAATTATGTTTTTGCTTGCATTGAATTCTCTGATCTCTTATTCATGCTTAAAAGATAGTAACTTGTGTATTTCTTCATATTTAGATTCTAGGGCATCACAACTTCACCCTAAAACTTTCTACACTTCATAGATATGAGAGACAACTAACTTATAAATTGATCTTATTCATTGATTTGAAGCACAAATCTTGTTGATGAGGCCATCAATGCTTATCAAAAGCAAATTAAATACTCCTCAAATAAGCATAAGAATTTTACGACAATAAATTGATCTACCTATTCAATAACTGTTAAGAGATCAAAGACAACCTTCTCACTAAAAGTCAATTTAAGTCATCTAATTACATCTCATTAAATATATCTAGGACTAACATTATAATGGATATCCAAACTTCTAAATACATAAAATGACTAAAACTTCTAAAGAATCAAAATGACATAGATGAGACTCAATATTGTCACTTCTATTACTCAAGAGGGCATTTCATTAAAAACTGATTTTAATTGAAGGAAAAGTTGGAGCATCTAATTCACCAAAGGCATATGGGTCATTCTTTATAAGCACAACATACATATCATCAACTCCAAAACAGGAAAGATCAAAATAATTGAGATAAGAAGATTATTTAAATTAAGAGTGTCATCACACTGGAATATTCCATCACTTAAATAATCCAAAGAAGTTGAACTCCTTAGTTTTTGTATATCTTGATTTCTATTAGCTAGAGATAAAAATATCTTAAGTTTTTATGTGAATTATTACTAAATCCTTCTTTTTTATAAATAATGTTGTATTAAACAAAAATATTTGGAAGGCATGCCTATGAGGTAGCCTTGATGGAAAAGTAGTAGTGGACATAATCCTCACTACAATGACCCAATGAGGGAAAGTGATAGAGAGGGTATCCACTCAAAACCTCAGGAAAGTGCACCCATAAGGTAGCTTTGATATAAAGTTAATTGTAGAGAGGGCTCTCACTAGAAAGATCCTATGAGAATAAGTGGTTGACATACTCTCTACTTATCCAAAACTTTAAAAGGTATAGATGCTGGGAAATTTTTTTATTTGGGCCTATATAAATATATACATATAATTTAAAGTATTATACATTAGTAGCAATCTAAACTTGAGCCAATTAAATTCGTGATCAATTTAAGTATTAAATTGTTATTTGGCTTATATAACATCTCAATTAAATTTAGATGGAATTAAATATTTTGTAGTGGTCAAGTATTTATTTTATTTTAATGATGGACTGAAATAAATATAAATTTAAAGTATAAAATAGGATTGTGGTCCCCAGTTTAAATAGTTAAGTTCTCATTTTTTCCTTATTTCACATCTAGAGTGAAAAGAATGGGTCTCTTCCTCTCTTAGAGAACTTCGCATCAAATGTGGAAGACTAAAAACATTGATTCTGCACTTCAATGTATTCAAGTACGCTTTTGATATATTTTCTCAATAATTTAGCATGTAATTGAATGCAATGAAATTAGTTTTTCATCTCCAATGTATCAAACAATAGGAGCATCTAAAAATCTCATAAGACACAAGTCTTAAAAGTTATATATGTGTCAAAAATCTTAGAAGATAGAAACTTTAGAAGGTATATGCATACCTAAAACCTTAGAAGGAATACACCCAAAAAAAATATTATTTTCTCCAATTTTTCAATGACCTCATGAGGCATAATCATATGCCTCGAATGTATAAAATTTGAGATGTCTTAAAAAATCATATGACTTAGTTTTTTTTTTTTTGGATAAATCTTAATTACTCTTATACAAAAACAAGCATTTGATTATTTCCAACAATTTGATTGTGAACATCATTCAAATTTGTACATGAAGTAATATTATATTTCATCGATCATATTTCATTATTTCAATATTTAAGTGTTTTAATAATCTTAGAATTAAACAATCTTCATCTTATCAAAATATTCAATTTGACTATAAGCTCCTAGAAATTGCAGTTTAAATGACCATAAATTTTATTCAATATGTTTTCAACTCAAATATCCATTTGAATTTGTGGCCAATTAAAATGATTTTTTTATGGGATATATATAAACATTTTTTAACAATCAATGTTAGTGGCCAAGCAAGAAGTGATATAGAGAGCATACAAAGCGTGTCAAATATTGACACCCCTAATGATGACAATCATGTTTATAAATTAGTCTAAAATAATGTGAGCATGTAGGTTAGACAAAAGAGTCCAGAGAGAGCAAACCATAATAGGGACAAAAAAAATCAAGTTGGGTTGCTCTAATACCATCCCTAAAATAAAATTTTATGGAAAAATATTTGCATATTTTTATGTTAAAATAGGTAATTACAAAATAAGAAAAAATTAGCTTATTTTGATATGTTAGTTGGGACCTTTAACTATCAACAAAAAAATTATTTATTTAAATATATGTTGTGCTTACGAATTTACCTTAATTGATCTAAAAAACCCCAAAAAAACCAAAAGAAACAGCCATACATTTGGCTGGCTGGTTCGAGAGAGGAGCTGTAAGAAGCAAAGGCAAAACAACGACAACCTGTAACTTTTTTCTTTAATGTCTGCAAACATTAACCGATATGTAAATACGGTAATTTAATTTGTAAATATGGAAAAGTACGGTTATCAGAGATGCTGATAGGGCAAAGCCTCGCTGTCGGTAACCGGAAATCATCATATTGACCGTCCGATTCTGATCCGACGGCTGCTGTCTAACTTCTCATCTTTATAAGTAGGCCAAAGATCGCTCACCACGTCTTCAGATAGGTCTCGCAATTGGAGCTGACGTGGAAGGACAATGGTCGTCCTCCCGTGCTATATAGTTTTAACTTTTAAGACGGTGACCACGCTGGAGACACAGAGGTCGGGCTAGAGAGAGAGAGACACGGTGGCCGGTGGGGGAATCTCGAGGGAATATTCCGTAAAAGAGTACTGGAAAGTGGCGGCCGTGGCGTCGTGTGCCGTTCGATCGGGATCAGACGGTGTAGGGATGGGGCTCGCGAGCGACGAGTTGGTGGAGATCCAGTTAGGGAAAAATGCCGGCGAGCCGAGCGTCGTCACCGTGAATTGCCCCGATAAGACCGGGCTTGGCTGCGACCTCTGCCGAATTATTCTAGAGTTTGGACTCTGCATTACGAGAGGAGGTAAGAGAGTTTTTTATTAATCCTTTTCTTCATTTTTTTTTTTTTCGCGAATTCATTTCGATCAGGGTTTTTTATGTGAAGTCGATATGACGATTTCTTGATTTTTCATGTGTATTTTACTATTTTGAATCCGGCTGGCCTTTTTTTTTTGGGAAATTTGTGGTTTGGGGTTTGGCTTTTTAGGAAATTATTATTTGTGGTTCTTAAGAAAGGGAAATTCTTCACCATGTTCTCAGTTACGTTTTTTAGATAAATCTTTGTCATATGGTTAGGCATAACATTTTCCCGTATTTTTCTGTCCCTTTGGAATGAATGATTGCGGTGGAAACGCGTCAAGTACTTTGGAATCGTTGAAGCTATGTTTGGATGTTGGGACTAATAGTGAAAGGACATGAAAATGGATTAAGAAAATTTAAATCAATGGCTAAAGTTCATGATTAGCACATAAACTATTCGGATTTACATTTCATTTGCTTCAACTGCTTCGATACAAACAGAGCCTAAATGCATTCATATACTTATCTGTAAAACATAATGTTATTTTGGCGACAAATTAAATTGGAATGCAGAGATTTTATCGATTATGATAGGAAATTCAGTCTGTAAGGCTAATTTTTTGCTAAGTTGCCCTTAGAAAAAAAAAATCTTCCTTCTGCCATTTTTTTGTAGATGTATCAACCGATGGGCAGTGGTGCTTTGTGGTGCTATGGGTTGTTCCGTGCTCTCCAAAAATTAACATCCAATGGACAAGTTTGAAGAACCGGTTGTTATCAGAGTGCCCAACTTTTGCCATTCCATTCTATTTGGACCTTGGAAGCTTGCCCAAGATAACTCAGACTTATCTCCTGAAGCTCTTCTCAGTTAATCGAAAGGGGCTTCTACACGGTAAATAAGCGATTTTGATTTATTGGCGTATCTAACAGTTGCAAATTGAGGGTTTGGCTATTCATATATTGTTGTTTATGGATTTTTTGAGTTGATGCAGATATCACTCATGTTCTTTGCGAGCTTGATCTCTGTATCCATAGAGTAAAGGTCTCTACAACACCAGATGGAAGAGTCATGGATCTTTTCTTTATAACGGATGGCATGTGAGTAGAAAATTATTGATTTTATTGTGTTTTTAATTTGTCTTGTATTGTTGTTTTCATGTGAAATTACTAGTGTAGTCCAGGAAACATGTTCTTAATTGAAATTTAGTTTGAATATTTTTCGTGCTCTCATAGCAGTGCTTACTTGATCTTTGATAATTAAGTTCTAGCATGATTCCTTATAATACATCTTCTCCAATATTGTGCTCATTTCCTGGGAACTGCAAAAGATATGCAAAAGGAGACAAGAAGAAACAATTCTCGGTGTAGGGCCTGTAGGATATGGAAGTAAAACCAAGCGACAAAAAAAAAAGAAAAATAGAAATACAGTGGAAAGTACAGGATACCAGGATTTAACATGGGAAAATCCGAAATCGGAAAAAAATCATGGAGCCACACCACACTAAGAAATTCATTATGAAAATTGGGAGAAATAAGTACATATCTCTCTTCTCTCTCACTCTCTCTTTGCTTCTCTTCTCTTTTACATTATTCTCATACTCAAAACACAAGAGAAAGTCAAGTTAATAATAACGAGGGATGTCACCCTTTAAGAAAAACGAGAAAGAACCGCCTTGAAGCACTGTGGTGCTGAAGCCTCTGTATCATGATGTTGCGGCGCTCAAACCCGCAACGCTGAGGCATCACACAGCACTCCGGCACCGAATCTATAGCGTTGTGGCGCTCCGCTCTCTATCATTTCTCCCAGAAAACTCTGCAGGCTTCGAAACACAGCACAAGGGTGCTTGGGTACTCAAGCATCGGGACATTGTACAAAGAAAAAAAATTGGGTGCAAAGCACCTGAATCCAAGCAGGGGGAGGAACTCCCAGCTAGCACGAGAAATTGATTTGAGGTCCGAGGCAGTAGTACAGCTCGATTGATTAACACAACAAGATTTCACACAGAATTAACAGTTTAAGCAAATGAATTTTCTTTTAATATCCCCTGCTTCTTTAATTCTCTCAGCCAAAATGGTACAATCTTTTTTATTAAGCAACTGAGTGTATTTATACTCTTTTGTTCTAGGGAGCAACTGCATACTAGAAAACGACAAGATGAAACGCGTCAAAAATTAAGTTCTGTTCTTGGAGTTTCATCTATCACCTGTGAGATTGAGTTAGTTGAAGACTTTCAGCAGGGATTCTCGTCACTTCCTCCTACCGTTGCTGAGGAACTTTTCAGTCCCGAGCTATCAAACAGTCAAGTTTGTTCACAGGCCCTCAGTTCAGACTTGGCCAAAATGAAAAAGGTTAATGTAACCATTGACAACTCCTTGAGCCCTTGCCACACTTTACTGCAAATTTATTGTGCCGATCAGAAGGGACTTCTCTATGACATTTTAAGGACTTTAAAAGACTATAACATTCAGGTATCACTCTCTTGTATTTTTCATTGTATTGAACTTCGCATGTTAATATTACTAATCCAATGTTTCTTTGTTCTAATTCTAATTGTTGACTTTTCATATCTGAAATATGGGCCATGCCTGCTCTTACGAAAAACACCTAATTAATGTCACATAAATTTTTGATTAAATGGTCGGTAGCTTCTTTTTTTTCCGATAATGGTCAATAAATCATCAAAAATTTTGCTTGAATTCATCATCTTAAGCTTTGTTTGGAACAGCTTTCTTTCTGCTTCTTAAAGCTGTTTTTTAAGTACAATAATAAAATTTTTTGTACTAAAAAAAATGTTTTAAGAATCATAAAGAAATTTGTCCCAAAACAAAACCTTAGAGTGAGATATTTCTCCTTTAACCAATTGGTTGCTTTTCTTTCACAGTTGACAACTTCAAACTTTATATAGGGGTTGGGGATTGGGGGAAGTACTAAATGATATCACTCCAACTTGTTTACTGGCAAGATGCCTTTGAAAAGTATTTTCCTGTTTAATGCCTCGTGCTGTTGTTGTAGAAGATTTGTTTATGCATTTGTACAAGCACTTGTTGATTAACTTTATCAGCAACTTGCTAAATAAAAATTGATTTGATGCTGACTGCATTACTTTGTAAGTCTCCGCTTTTCTTTACAAACGGCCTAACTTACCATATGTAAAATTATAAAAACTTTCACGCCTGAAGTGCCAATTTTGTCTTCTGATACAAATTGTACTGTGGTTCCTGACATCAGATCTCTTATGGGAGATTCTTGTCGGACATGAATGGTTATCGAGAAATAGACCTCTTTATCCAACAAACTGACGGGAAGAAGATCTTGGATCCAGAAAAACAGGATGCTTTGTGCTCCAAAATGAAACTGGAAGTGATTCATCCTTTGAAGGTGATCATAGTCAGCCGCGGCCCAGACACCGAACTCCTGGTTGCCAACTCCGTCGAGCTGTGCGGTAGGGGAAGGCCGCGCGTGTTCTTCGACGTCACCTTAGCCCTTAAAATGCTCGACATTTGCATTTTCTCTGTAAGAAACAGAAACAAATCCATTGGCCAATGTAAGATTTTTATTCATGACTGATCGTCTGGTTTTTGTACAGGCTGAGATCGGCAAGCACAGGACTGCAGAGAGGCAGTGGGAAGTGTACAGATTTCTCCTGGAGGAAAGGCGAGATTTCCCACTCTCAAGTAGAAAAGTCAGAAACCAGATTGTCGATGGCGTGCGACGAGCATTGATGGGCTGGTAAACAAATCTGGTTCTTCGCTCTCCTACAAAACTAATACATGTTTGTACAGTAATAGAGTTATTATTAATCAGCTGTAGCAGAATAATTTCTATTAATCTAATATATCAATCTATTTAGAGCTTCTCACTTCCTATCTTCAACTTTTTTTTTTTCCTATCCGTCCATTCCCGCGAGCATTTCTCCATTCAGAAGCATCTCTAGTTGTTGGATTTGACGTGCGAATGATCCATGGAAGTAGATATCTCAGAATAAATTTAACAATTTTAAGGCTCATCCTCTCAAAAAAAAAAAAGGCAAAGATATGGTTTTTATTAAACGTGATATGGTTATCTTGGCTGGACTTGTCCTCATTCTTCACAGTTTGTTCTTTTGGGAAAACTCGGTTGTAAATGCTCTTAGTTGGTAATACTGCTTGAATGACCTTATCAAACCAAGGCAGAAAGGCGATAGCAATCGAATAATGATAGAAGCGAAGCAATTTCTTCTGATGGCTCATATTTGAAGTCCCTAATTTTCAAAAAAAAAAAAAAATGATAGATTTATAATAGCGAATGGACTAGGACAATGATGCAATTGTGATAAGAAAATCATAATAATACGATAACATTTGGGCCATAATGACACCGGATCGGAGCGGGCTCGATGAATCCACGTTGATGATCCAGTGGCGGTCGCCGGACACCACTCCAAGAACTCATTGGAGCAAGAACCACCACCTAAGAACAATCTTAGGATATATAAATTCACAAAGAGAGTAAAACTCTAATTTTATTAATCTCCAAAATCTCTCTTATTACAAGCATTGACTATCTATTTATAGCCAAAAAGGAAGCATCATAATAGGCTACATACAAAATAAGAAAGCATTACACCTCTATAGCCCTATAAATACCAAATGAACTTAATATAGGCTGAAGTTTAATACAATTAACGACTCAGCTCCGGCGTCACATAACAATCTAACAACTTTATTCGAATGATGGTGGTCAGTAACAATCATTGGCCGAAAACATCAAGTGAAATTCTAGAGTTCTTTGAATCTCTTAGTCCACTTCGATCTTAAGTTTAGGTCTCCTTCTTGTGAAAAATAAAGGTATTTACGATATTTTGAGAGTTGGGTTTTCATGAGTTTGGCCAAAATTTGTTTACAATTTATCAGACAATCGATATTGAATTCTTTGACCATAAATTATTTATTTAACATTTGATTTATGTAATAACCTCAAAATTGTATGATCTTGAACTAAGTGTATTCATCTAAGCATAAAAACTTCATAGACCATTCGATCATTTAACTAATGCCACAAAATTTTCAAATGTTCAATTTTGTTTGATTTAGACTCTCATTAGAATTTTTTTGTATCATTGTATCTGTCTCGTATAAAGGCATTTAGTTCAATTATAAATTTATAAATACCGGAAATAATTTAAATATTATCTTGAGATTTATTAAAAAAGATTTTTTTTTTATGGAGGTAAATTTAATGGTGACATATCATTATCAAAATAAAATTTAAAGTTTATGTTGATTAAACTTTAATCATGATGCGATGAACCGAAAGATTCGCATTTCTGAAGAATGGAATTGCGATGTTTCTCGTGCTTAATTAATTAGAAAACGTGGCTGAAAAATGATGATAGGGTGGGGCCCCGTTGGCGTTTATTAGCAGATAATTACAGCCCATTCATTAATTATCTATCTGAGTCGGAATCATAGCGACCGTTGAATGTTTGATGGCATGAAAGATAATCAGACATTTCAATTTTTATTTTATGGTGGGGCTCATTTTCAAATAATTTTATCTTATATAATGAAATCAAAGATGCCTTTCACTTTTACAAAGATACCTTATACGGCAAGTGAAATATTTATGGTGAAAGAGTTGCGAAGTAAAGATAGCTCTATTTTTTATTTTTTTGAAATATTTAAATAAATTAAGTCAAACTAATATAGATCACTTTGTACTTCAAAACCCACAAATTATTCTAAAACTTTCTATCAATAAATCAAGATGAGCGGCATGAAGTAATGTTAGCTGATCGGTGGCTAATTTAAGGGAATAAGGGATTGACTATTTAAATATTTTTATCTGACCAGTTTAATTGGTGAAATAATCCATGTTGGCACAAAAACTTGATTTTGACTTGATTGATTTTTTTTTATTTGTCTGCTCTTTTATTTATTTGATCAATTAATTTAAATTTAATAGTTAACAAGTTAAATTTTTTTTAATCAAAATAAGTTATCGTGTTTCAAGTCATTAGGTTTGCTAGCGAGCTAAGTTCGGATCCACCTTTTTGACATGTTTATTAAATGGTCAAATTCGGATCGACATGAATCCGATCAGATCAATTTTGAACTGCACCCAAAACTAACTTATCAACTCATTTTGAACCCCTAAACTTTATGTTATATTATGTTATTCAAAGTAAAAAATGAGTTTGATTTTTTTTTTTTTTATAAACATTGTCTATTTTCCAACATTTGTGACTATGGGAAATTTATTTTATGTTATGATTTGGTCTATATGAATTGTTATGAATTTGGACTAAGTTGGACTCATGAATAATTTCAAATTAATTGTTGATACATAGATAAATATATCTCAATTAACAAAATCTTCCAATCCAACTAGTGAAGATGTGAATATTAAAATACAAGAAATGAAGTTAATATGAGAAATGTAGTCATATTTTTCATAAAATTATAGTGAAATAATTAACTAAAAAACAAAAGGAGAACAGGCATTATTAATATATTTTTTTAAAAAAATAAGTAAATGATGATAAAAATTATTTTTTAAAAATTAAAAAAATAACAGTGCTAAAACTATATTTTGCTTTGTAAGGAAAAAAATTTGTTGTTTTGATTGTTAATAATTTTAATAAATAATCATCCACACAAATTGGTGTCGTGGTGTAGTTGGTTATCACGTCAGTCTAACACACTGAAGGTCTCCGGTTCGAACCCGGGCGACGCCAATTTCAGTCAATTTTCTGAAAGCGTTCAAAGTTTTTATTTGTATGGATAATAACTAACAACTTTTAATTAAAAATAAATTAACAAAATATTTCACTGTAAATGATTTGATGAAATTAAAATATGACTTAAATTTTTATTTTTTGGATTTTAATGATACTGTTAAAAATAAAGGCAGTTAATAACTTAATAATATAAATATAAGCAATTTTTTAGTGACAAACAATAAGTTATCCCCCTAAAATTAATTTATTTAATTTCATATTTGATTCTGCTACCAAAGCTTCAAATTCATTTTTCATGGAACTTATATGTATAGAATAATAATAATAATAAAAGGAAGATGAACGCATGTTGAAACTAAAGTATTTAACTCAACACATCCTTCTACTCAAATTTATAAGATATATTAAAAAAAATTTTGAATTTAAATTATCTTTGGAAGGATTGTAGTCAGGCGTTGGTGGTCGAAAGGACAGTAGTCGACGGGCGACGAGGGTCGGAAGAACCGTAGTCAGGCGACGTTGGTCGAAAAAACCGTAGTTTGGGAGACAGTGGTCCGAATGACCGTGGTCGAGCAACATTTTACGAATTGTGGTCGAGCGACGATGGTCGGAAGGACCGTAGTAGAGCAAATATGGTCAAAATGATTGTTGTCGTGCGATGGTGCTCGAAAAGATCGTAGTTGGGCAAATATGGTCAAAAGGTCCATTGTCAGCAGCTAACAGAGGTTGGAAGGATCACAGTCAGCGGACGACAGTGATAGAAAGAACCGTAGTTTGGTGATGGTGGCCAAAAAGATCATAGTCGAACAATAGTAGTTGAAAGATCAAAGTCGGGTGTTGGTGGTTGGAAGGACCGTAGTAGGGCGACAGTGACCGTAAGGATCATACTTGGTTGAATATGATTGGAAGGAACGTAGTCGACGAGTGATAGTGGTCGGAAGGACCGTAGATGGGCGACAATGGTCGAAAGGACCGTGGTGATTAATTTTAAAAGTTTTCAATATATATTTGCATCAAGATTCGTGCTTGATCAAGATAATTTGATGATATCAAGTATAATATAATCATTCAATAAATATTTAATAAATAACTTCGAATAAGGTTCTAACAATACAAACCAAATATATCCAAACAATGACCACTATTTAATAAAAAATGTAAATAATTTTCAATCCTATTTGATAAATTAAAAATACGTAGAGTTTTTACCATTCTGACGCAATTGTAAAAAAATATAGTCCCACATGGCCTAAGAATTTACATTGTTGTTAGCTCAGGCTTTAAAACAAACAGGAGTTACGGCGCCTAACTCATACCTTTCTCGGCCTTATGGCTAAGATCAAGTGAAGTATCTGTTCTTATCAGTTTAATATCTGATACGTGGGCCAAGGGCCCACTTGATATTAAATTTATTTTTTGTTGGGTGAGGGCCCATTACAATAGCTTGCTATTGGGGCCTTCGAGTGTCGCCTTTGCGTTGCACTGCTGCGAAGGATCGGCGCAACCCTATTCATACAGAATTGAATGTTTAATTAATGTACGAGTTTGTATCTTATTTTTATTTATTGGCTTAAAATATTAAATTACTCTTAAATACATTATTACTTCTTTAGGTCTATTTTAACTAAGAATATATTATAGAGAACATATTATAACTAGAAATGAAGGATCGGCGCAACCCTATTCATACACAATTGAATGTTTAATTAATGTACGAATTTATATCTTATTTTTGTTTATTGGCTTAAAATATTAAATTACTCTTAAATACATTATTACTTCTTTAGGTCTATTTTAACTAAGAATATCTTAAATATCAAATATTAATATATTATAAATAGAAAATGTGCAAATTCAATTAAGTATTGTTCGAACCCTTACATTAATAATTTACTCAAAAAATTTTGATATCTCGTGCGTTCTTTCGTAATAAATAAATACATTTAATCAATAGTTTTCTCAACGTTAAAATAAATTGCTATTTTAAAAAACAATATAATTTTTTTTTAAATACTCTTGTTGCGGCCTAGAATATATGCGGCCATAGAATTAAAATATTTCTGTCTTAATGTTCTAGGAATATCTAGTACAAAAAAAAAGAGAAATTGTAACACCAGGATTTTTACAAGGAAAACTTTAAAAGAGGAAAAATCATGGGATCACATCCAGTTAAAATAGTTTCACTAGTATTTGTTTGAAGTACAATAAATTAAAAATCAATTTTAAAAAACAGTAAAGGCTGTCCCAAACAAAAGCCTTAGTCTCACTTAACTCATGGCTATAATAAATTGCTACAATCTTTATTTACACGTAAAAATAAGATTAATAAAAACTATGATATTTATAAAAAAACAAAAAAAGAATTACTTAATATCTTTTACAATAATATTCATACTTCAATACAGAATATGACAATTTTGTATGGATCCTTTATACAGACTCCATGTAATAAAAAATCCTTGATCGCTCCTGTAACTTTTATTAATACAAATTAATGATCAATCATAGACATAAAAAAAAAAACCAATGCCAATGTCCAAAGGCTGCCATCCAAATAGCGTAATTATTGAAAAAAAAAATTAAGCAAAGCTGTAACCAACAATCATTAAATTCAACAATCCAGAATTACAAATTTTTTATCAGCCAATTTGAGCACCAAGCTATAATTAAATATAAGCAAAAACCATAACATGGACGTTCAGTTATCAGAACATAAATTTAAAATGAAGTCATGGAATAAGGGAACAGAGTAGAAGACCAAGTTTCGCACCATATACAATATTTATTAGTCTATTGGACCCAATATTAATTAAACAAACAGTATAAATTTCCCATAAGCACACAATCCTTTCTCAAAGATCTTGTATGAAGAAGGAAAAGCCTGGAGAGGAGAAGCTAAACTACTAAAGGAAACCGCCATCGGTCCACCGAGAAGCAGATTTTCCGGGCTGATTGGAACCCTTGGCCGGCGACGGCGAGCTGTGGTGATGCTTATCGTCCTCATAGTCATCGTCCTTCACATCATCCCACCCAGCCCAGTCATTACCATTTTGCCGACTCTTGCCGGACTCGACTTTTCGATCCTTCTCATCCCAGTCATCCCAGGAGCTGGCAGAATTGTATTGCAGGCTAGATTGTTCATTTGGAAAACCCCAACTATCACCACCCTTCCCTCCAAAATCCTGATAATAGGCGTTCTTTAGCCCATCATTTTGCTGCCTGTCATCAGCTTTCCAGTTACTTTCCTTTGCGAATTCCTCAACCTTCTGTGAAGCCATTGCCATGACACCTTTCATGATTCCCCATGTTTTCTGCCCGATCTCAGTGGTTTTTGTTGTCACCACACTAACTGTTTCGTTCATCTTTTGATCATATCCTCCTTCCTTCACCTGAACAGAACTTCCGATTTAATGAATGTAAACGAGGAAAATAGTTTGAAATTCAACTCAGTAGTAGGCAAGGAGCCACAAAACTTGTTTCAAGTTAAGAAGTCTCGTATTAACAGATTAGAGGATGAGAGTAGATCTTACTTTTTAATGAAATAAGGGGCCCGCATAAAATTTAATGCGTAACAAGGCATTTATTAAGCAGTAAATTTAATATTAAACGCATAGACTCCCAAACATACTAGAAACAAGCTCCACATGGCATGTAAATCATACAAACATTCTCGCATGAAAGTCTCCCATGAAGGAGAAATTATTTTGTGCGAACGCCAAATGTAGCTCTACATCCAGAGACAAACCAGAATGAGCCATATTAGCAATACCGAGCGTGGTGTTGAGCGGTACCGAGCCGTGTTATCGAGCAGTACCTAGCAGTACTATGCCGCAGTACCGACGTGGCTCATTCTGGTTGGTTTCCAAAAGGCGTTCTGCATCCGCACATAATAATTTCTCCCCACGAAGTGACGAGAATACAATTCAGCCTTTTGCTAGAGCGGAGATTTTATCGCACCACCTGTACGAGAACAACTAAGGCTTTGTTTGGGACAGCTTTCTTCCTGCTTCATAAAGCAGCTTTCTAGTACAAAAATTTTAATTTTTGTACTAGGAAGCTGCTTTAAGAAGCAGTAAGAAAGCCGTCCCAAATAAAGCCTAAGTTTCCAGTATTTTAAAGTTGCCTTCACATTGTATCAAATGACTGTGAATCCTTCTACCAACCATTTTAATGAAATAATTTTTTTTTAAAAAAGCTAGTTAGAATAATAAACCTTGTTATATAATTTTCTCACGAAATGAATAAAAACAAAATCATAACATTTTAAAAGAGTTATATTTCAAGCAACCAATGAGTCCTAAAACTAATCTGATTTCAGGATATATATTATTAATTCCATACAAATTAATTTTTACAAATCTAGACACACATATGAGCCCCATTCCCATGTCAACTAAGCTCAGATTAGCGACTCATTGGAGTGGGTTGGGAGTTGGTTTGAATACTACAAGTTAATACAATTTCATCTGAACTATATAATTTCCTTTCATATACAAGTAAATTGATGTGTGAGCATAACAAAATTCAATGTTAATCACAGCTTCTATTAGGTTTAAACTACTCAAATTTAAATATATTAATAAATCTAATTAATCAACATCAACACAAACAATCAACTAGGATTTCTTGTTCGGATCCCTATGTCCGTCCATCATATTAGGTATCGGGCTTATCAGAACCCTAAGCTACACATAGTAAGGTGAGTCTGCTTTTAGGTTTATCAGACACATTAATCTCAATAAGTTCTTGTTCCTTCAATTTCAATAGCTGCATGTGCTTCAGCAATAGAAAATTTTTTAGCCATTTTGACCACAATTTCAATCCAAAACCATATGTGGCCACAGATAAGTAGCTTGTCTAATATTTGCACATAATAATGAATTATCTATCATATTCATCACCATCATCTGGCTTATTCTAACTATTTGCGACCGCCTTTATGGATAGTCATTCTTCATGTTCGCTTTGTGCAAATATTTGTTCGCTTAATACTATAACGGTAATTTTATATACCTACCTTATTACCATTTGTTGTAAAACACAGCCACATAAGTAGATTTTTCACCATCCAATGATCTTGCATCCAAATAATACAATCATTTCTCTATGATATATTTTAACAACTTGTAGTCTTTCAATGCTTCACCATTTAAATTACCAAACCTTCTTTCTAAAGTTATATCATTATATATATATTCCTATACTTCTACATCAAAAAATACACGGAACTTAAATCTTTCGAACCTAGATGTCAATTTTTCATCTATTATTAGTAAGCTGATTTAAATAATATCAACTTAGTTAAAACAACAAACTATATAATTCAACTAATTCTAATTGGGACTCATTTCGACAAAGGTCCTTCAATTATATCAATTTTCAAAATCAAACACCAAGATATCTCACCTTGAGTATCATTTATTATCTTCATTACTATTACAAAAAAGAACAAAATGTTCATCCTTGATGTTATTCTCCTATGTTTGGGAACTATTTGCTCACTCAACTACTTTTAAAACTAGTAAATCCTCTATCATATATATATCTAATAACTTCAACAAACTATGACCCGTACTTTCCTTAACACACACTAAATTAATTCTCAATTCCCATAATACTCAGCCACATGCCTTCTCAAAATTAGTCAAATCATATAAAGATCCTTTCTTTGTTCCTAATATTGCTCACTAATATTATGATAGCAAAAAAATTGCCTTCTCGTGAATGTTCAGGGCATAAAATCAATTGGATTTGAACAATAATATAAATCTATAAGTCTATTCTATTACTCTGTCATAACTTTATTGTATATATGATAAGTTTGATTCTCTTGTAATTATCACATCCTAAGCATCATATTTGTCTTTATGCATTAGTACCAAATAGACTTGGGCATCGGATCAGTTGGGCTAGGGTGAATTAAGTAACCCTACTGCCCAAAACCAACCCTACTGGCTGGCCCAAATTAAATAATCCAAGCATATTGTGTGTTAAGGTCGAGTCAACATGGGCCCCACCCCAATAGCCACCCAAAAATTAAGGAACTTGAGAAAATTAAAATAGTCTAAATATGAAGCAGGCTAACCCTCTAACATATTAGAAACATAACCTATATTTTTCGAGCAAACATAAGTTCAATTCAATTGCTTCTTTGGCCATCTCCTTTGCGGCTATGTGAATATACTATCAAAGCGAAATAAAATATGACTAACATAAAAGATAAAAAAGAAAGAATAGTAGCTGCATTTACCTCAACTTCCTGGCCTAAACCAAGGCAAAATCTTTGAGTACAATCTCATAAATGACTATGATTACTTGCGCTCCACAACAACAACAACAGCAACAACATCAAGCCTTTATCTCACTACGTGGGGTCGGCTACATTAATCTCTTTTCTCCATTGTGTCATATTAAAAGTCAAATTCTCGTTTAAATCTAATAAAGAAAGGTCATTCCTAATATTTTATAACCAAGTCTTTTTAGGTCTGCCTCTACCTTTCTTAACATAAGTCAAATCTAATACCTCTACTCTCCTAACCGGGTCATCAGAAGGCCACAGTTTTATGTGACCAAACCATCTAAGGCAACTCTCTCTAATCTTATCTTCAACTGGAGCTACAACTTGCGTTCCACAACATAAAATTGAAATTGCCAAGACTCTTTGCATTAATTTTATCTACCCATTCCTGATTATAAATTTATTAAATTACCTTTAAGTCTCCAAGATTCCCCTAATCGCATAACAATCCCAAGATACTTCTTCATTTTAACCATATATTATTATCTATATCCATATTCATCTGTATAATATATCCAAATACTTAAATCTTATCATACATATACATCACTGTATCATCTTATGATATTGACCGATAATTATTAATATCACATACTAAAAATTGCATACCATATATTCAACCTTAGTTTCACTAATTCTAAACTCTCCACCTTTCCATTTTAACCATATATCATTATCTATATCCATCTTTATCTGTATAATATATCCAAATACTTAAATCTTATCATACATAAATATCACTTTGTATCTTATAACATTAACTGATAATAATTAATATCATATGCTAAAAATTGCATACCATACATTCAACTTTTGTTTCACTAATTCTGAACTCTCCACCTTCTAGAGTTTTTCTTAATTATTTCAACATATGTTAAACCAATTAAAATTTATGTCAACTACCCAAATGATACACCAACACGAAAAAGATACAAACTCATTGTGGATCCTTAATAAAATCTAATTGTACCTGAAACTTTTTATCACTCCACAGTTGATAATAAAAGTCAATGCACCATCATACAAATATTTTATAACTTCAGCACCCGCACATTTTTTGCTTAATGCACACTAAAGCAATACTCGTAGTACTCCATTGTATGCTTCTCAAGACCAATTAAAATCATATGAAAACCCTTTTCTACTCTATATTCTTTACCATTAATTGACTTAAACAAAATTCAGTTACATGGTACATCGTCTTGGCATGAAATCAAATTAATTCTTTAAAATTGATACAATTTTTCTAAGTTATCTTCCATTACTCAATCCTATAGCTTCATTATTCGACTCAGTAATTTCATTACTCAATAATTAATAATCTTTAAAATCTCCTTTTTGCTGGCAAATATTGGCACCAACTTAATGCCTCACTAATCAATTGGCATCTTCTTAGCAGTCAAATTTCCACTGAGCAGGTTGTTAATCAATCCATTAAAGTATACATCATAACTCCCCAAATAACAAGTATCTCATGCACTTAAAGATTTATATTAATGTATTTTCATTGGAGTTAAATCCGCTTTTTTTTTTTTTGATAAATACATGATATATAACTCATTATGTTATTCAAAATGCTCTTCAAAAATAATTTATTCCATAAAACTTGCATTATATCATTTCTTCAAAACTAATTCATATTTCTTTGATATTTTCATCTTTAACTAATATTATGCTATTATTTTCGCTACTAAGACATCAATCTTGAACAAGGCTTTTATATATTGTCTTAACCATAGTCCTTTGACTATTCGAATATGACTAATTTAATCCCAAAATATCTAATTTAATTTATCGACAATTTAGAATTGATCCAAAATGGTCCTTGTGGAACTAAATTGGGATTAATTTTATATAGTCAAGGGACAAAATTGGAATCAATTTTATATCACAATTACAACATGAGTGGCCATTTTAGATCAATTTTGTATAGGCAATGAACTAAATTCAAGTAGCATCATATTATGGGGCATAATTGGCCACACAATTAGTCTGGGGTCTATTTTGGGATTTTATTCTATTTATATATCTCTTTTTCACCATCTTTGATAATAAGCCTCTTGAAAATATTTATCAAAAACTATAACTTTTGTTTCGTACGCCATCCATTCTACAAAACATTTAGCTTTCTTGTAACAATTCTAAATTTCAGTAGAATTTTAACTTTTGCCTTTCTTTAATAGCACATTATTTTCCTACATAATATCTTGTACCTCCACCACCAACAAATCTCCTTACTAATGTATGAATTATTCCTAGACTCCCCTAAAACTTTAGGGGCGATCTTCTTAATGAAATTAACCAACTTATCTAACATCAAGTTCAGCTGAACTGATAATTTCAATTTACCTTTTAACAACAAATTCTATATATTCAGGAAACTAAATGAGTTGGAGAGAAGACTAAAGAGATTGATAGTTAATGATTTAAACTATGATATTCTAGTATGAGTCGTACTAAAAATAGTGTAGTTGTGATTATAGGTAAGAGTTTGAAGGATAATATTGTAAAAATTAATAAAATTGAAGATATAATTATAGTTTTAAAAAACATTGTTGATGTTAAGATTATTAATATTATAAGTGCTTATACTCAAGTAAATTTGGATATATGTTCAAAATTAAAATTTTGGAATGAATTAAAAATTTAATAAAAAAAGATATCTTTTGAAAAAAGAGTTTTTATTGAAGGAGATTTAAATGAACATGTTAGTAGAGAAGTAAATGATTTTAAAAATACGAATTTGGAGCGACTAATGAAGGTGATAAGATCATATTATATTTTTCATTAGCCTATGATTTTGTATTGCTAATTCCTTGTTTAAGAAAAAGAGATAAGCATCTCATCACTTATAAGAATGAATATAGTAAAACTTGAATTGATTATTTTTCATATAAGAAAAATAGATCATTTAGATTGCAAAAATTGTAAAGTTATTCCGAGTGAAAGTTTATGTACCCAATATCGCTTATTAGTTTTGGACTTTAAGATGAAAGGGTAGAAAATAAAAAATAAAGTAAAATGCTATTCTAGGATTACATGGAGCATTATAAAACATTAACAAAAAAAAAAATTTTTGAGAGTAAGATTCTAAATCTTATGATTTTGTTTGTGCATGAAGAAACTAATGTTATGTGAGAAAAAGTAACTAGTGATATTAAGAATGTTGCAAAAGAAGTGCTTGGAGTATCAAAGAAAAAAGCTTCTAATAGTAAAAATAGTTGGTGGTGGAATCAAAATATGCAAGAAAAGATTAAAAAAAAAGAAGATTTGTTATAAAAATTAGTTTAGATAAAAAAGATCTTATATATATACTATTTGAACCTGTAAAATTTCCAAAAATGAAACTCTCAAGGAGTCAAAACAAATAGGTAGAGTAATAGAAAACAGAAACTAAAATATTAGATAAAAGTGTAAACTATCTAATAGTCTAATGCAATCCGATAGTGCAAAGGAAACACATCAACAAAATTATTTGAATAAATAAACCAAGATGTTCTACCATGTAATAGTCTAGTATTGCACATCTAATCAGGTCACCTGACCAAGAACCTATTTAGGTGATTTGGCATGACTACTCACTAAGAATAAGATATTTCGTTGCATCTACACCTTTCCGTTAGCCTTGATCCGTTCAAAAGTTTTGAAACTTAATAAGGAAAATATATTATTTTAAAATAAATCAAATTATAAACAAATTAATCTTACAAATAGAAAATAATATACCTATAAAAAAATAAGCATATCATATAAAGATATTATCCGATGGATGGAGATCCTGCTGATACAAGACACGTAGAGGGATTGACGCACAACCTTGCACTTTCCTTTATAACTTGTAATTATGTCATAGATGTGATAGATTTAAATATATTAAATCAATTATATAGAAGAATAAAGATATATATGAAGATATAACTTCTAAAATTAAGTTTCAATTATTACAATGAAGTATGTGAGTTTTGTGTGAAAAGAAGATATCATGAAGGCCTTAAGATAAGTTTTATAAGAATATAATATCATTAAGGTTGAAGATAAATTTTATAAGAATATCATTAGGCTAATGATGTCGCATAAATCCAAATGTTCGGCCTGGAAAAATTCATTGACTTCTAAGTTGAGTGTTTGAGTGTGACAAAAACGAGAATATTAAGATAGAGATATAGTAAAACTAAGAGTAATAAATTAAGAAATAATTGCAATAGAGAAAATGCTGGAGTGAAATCCTCCACACAAAAGAAAAAATATTAAAAAATAGACTTTGATGGATTGGAAATGTATAATGAAAAATAGAAAAATGTGTTTATCATATGAGCATGTAAAATTAGTATAAGCAGATTGAGAAGTAAAAGGTATATACTTAAGGTGACATAAATAAAAGTTGTTTAAAATGATTCGTGAAGTACGAGTTTAACACCTCAAACAACATTCAATATGAACGAATGAAAATTAAGGATTCATAACATCAACCACAAATAGTTGGATACAACCAATGATGATAAATTTAGTTTGAAAGTTGAAAATCGTTGGAATTTTAATTAGCATGAAATCAAAATAGACATACATACACATATGTGTATTTGTTAAATCATATAAAAATGCAAGTATATATACTCAAAATTATGCAACACAAATATTATATATATATATATGATAATTTACCTTTATAAATAAAGTTTGAATATTTATAATAAATGTAGTAATTTTAATTAGTGACTAAAAATAGCTCATAAATTAATAAAATACTCCAACCAGCTCAACAAAATTGACCACTTTTGACATGTCTCAACTCAAATTCAAAATATTATGTTTTGTTCTTAAACCTACTAGCTCAAACTTGACTCAATGTCACCCATATTTTTATTTTAGAGGGGTTGTTTATGTGACTCCAACTGCCCCTACCCACATTGGCTTGGCCCAGGCCAGTAGTTTAAGTTTAATTTTTTTTTTAATAAAATCCTAACTCATGTTCTCTAAACCCCCCACCCCCACCCCTTAAATGTAGTAATTTTTATTAGTGACTAAAAATAGCTCATAAATTAATAAAATACTCAAATCAACTCAACAAAATTGACCACTTTTGACATATCTCAGCTCAAATTCAAAATATTATGTTTTGTTCTTAAACCTACTAGCTCAAACTTGACTCCATATCACCCATATCTTTATTTTAGAGGGGTTGTTTATGTGACTCCAACTGCCCCTACCCACATTGGCTCGGCCCAGTAGTTTAAGTTTAATTTATTTTTTAATAAAATCCTAACTCATGTTCTCTTGCCCCCCCCCCCCTTAAATATAGTAATTTTTATTAGTGACTAAAAATAGCTCATAAATAAATAAAATACTCAAATCAACTCAACAAAATTGACCACTTTTGACATGTCTCAGCTCAAATTCAAAATATAATGTTTTGCTCTTAGACATACTAGCTGAAACTCGACTCAATATCATCCATATCTTTATTTTAGAGGGGTTGTTTATGTGATTCCAACTGCCCCTGGCCACATTGGTTCAGTCCAGTAGTTTAAGTTATTTTTTTTTTATAAAATCCTAACTCACGTTCTCTTGGCCCCCCCACCCGCTCACAAAAAAAAAAACAAAAAAAAAAACATAAGGATAGTCATCACTCGTAGAGCCTCACAAAAGCAAAACAAAACCCGATGATGCCTCCATGTTAAATTTAGTATAAACAACATTGCTCCATAACTAATAGATAAACCAAAGATTTTCTCAAGCTCATACACCCGTCGAAACTTCCTTAATTCAACCTAAAATCACCAAATCCCTTCCAATCAAGATGAAATCTCCATCAAAGGGCGTAAATCACTGCCCCTCTCCTATAGAAGCTCGAGTCATCGGCTAAAGCAATAAAAAATGAAGATTCCAATGACAACACAGCGGTCTCAAGCATTTTGACCAACATTATCGATGTCAAGATCATGCCAAATTTAACCATGTTGTGTCCTTGACATACCAGTGGAGCTGGAAAATCGTCAGCGATTGCTCCCTACTGTGGTTAAATGGCTATTCTTGTTTAGGTGGGATCTAATGGGCTTCAAATCTTCATCACACTCACAGTTTGGGGCCTCTTATCATAATCGATCAACCAATAGCCTCTCAATAAGATTTATTTTTGCTTTGATATTTATGGTATTTGATCGATGATGATGAATATGAAACAAGGGTCTCTTATTAAGCTCATTTTCTAATTATAGAGAGCTTTATATTAATAAGCTCAAATTCACTAATGAGTTGTGAACAAACTTTTTAAGTTTTGAATTAGCTAATCTACTTAGGCTATAAATGAATGCATATGATGAATAGCTCAATACTTATTCATATAAGGCATGCTAATATTTGTTTATTACTTTATTTATATAATTGAACAAACTTAAACAAAATTTTAAAAGCTCATCATATAAGTCAACAAACTCGTTTGTTTAATTATGTTTGTGAAAATTGTCAATGTCAACCCTAAGCCCAAGCGAAAAAGGTTTTGGGTAATTTTAAAATCGTTAAGTTATGCCACCAATAAGAGAATTTTCTAGCTCTGCCCCTAATTTCAACCTATCACATAATAGCTTTCAAGCAATTATATAAAATATTAGTATTTTATTAAGTTGTGTGATGCTAAATTGATTTTTCAAAGCTGACCGAGATTAGAGTTGGCTTGACACGTGACTTACTTTTTTACAAGAATATGCACCACCAAAATAGCAAATGGCTGGCGAATGCATGTACTAGTATAAACCCATCTATCCTTAGTCAAAAATGATAAGCCCAAACTTGATCAAAACATGAACCTGATGGGATATTTGACTATTGAAATCTAGAAACCCGATATTGTCAGTTTGGGTATGCATATTTACCCTATTAAATTAAGAAACAAGCAGGACTGCATGCTCGAACAATAGAAATTAACATGCAAAATAAACAAGGAAATGTTGAATCTTAACAAAGGGGAAGAATTGTTAAGTACCTTTGACGAAAATTCCTTTGTTCCTGCCTGGACGGCACTTGCAGCAGATTGTGCAGCAGAAGCTGCAACCAGAGATAGTCGACCAAAGCCCTAGCAAAGTGAATCACAATTAGAAGATTTAAGCCTCAATCAAGACACTTGACAGGTGAGCACAAAAGAAGATGTGTTAATGAATCAATGCACTTGACAGATGAACAAAAAAGGTGTGCTAATGCATCATATAATAATCCAAAAGTTCTTCACCAAAGAATGCATGTGCTTGCACCGTATAATGTGAAAATTAAAGATAGATCACCATGTAGATTAAAAATGAACAAAATAAAATAATAAAACTAGGACCAAAAGATACACTATGAGGAGGCTTAGAAATATGCATCACAATAAAGCATAAAATAAAATAAATGATGAACGACATTTAAAAAGTTAAGGAGCATTCAAGTGTTCTTCAAACACTGATTTTAAAAACATGAAAAGCATAGCTGAAATGAGTGAATGTTAATTAAGACTAACAAACATAAGCTATAATTCCAAAGCATATCACTTATGTATCACAAACTTACAAACCAAATTGACAACTAAAACATCCAAATCCTAAACAAAACTCACAAATTTGCTAACAAACTACAAATTCGCATTTCCTCTAGTTCATGAGTTGTTCATCTTTTTTTTAGTTATAATTTGCTTTGATTGGTTGAGAAATGCAAACACACACATATGCATGCATATATATATAAACGTTTTGTTTAACCTCTCATCTCAACTCTTTCTCATTTTACCAATGCATCAATGGATTACTATTAATTTAATGATAAATGAAGGGTTGATGATGAGGAGTAATTCTGAAATGACATGCACAAGTACAAACAAAGAAAGGAAGAGAATAGAAAATATAAATAAAGTAGAGGCAAAAGATGGTCTAGAAAAAAAAAACTTTATTTCTAAGGTATCAAAAAATCATTCTTATAAATGCCCTTTCCAAACCAAGAACTTTGCATAGCATACAAATACATCCAAAGCACAATTATTTCTCTTTTAGAGCTCATTTTGTTGTTTTAAAATAAAACTATGCTTTAGATAACTACATATTCATTTTCACTCATTTATAAAAATGAAATCATCATTTTTGAAGGAATTTTGAGAAGGATTGTAGCATTTGAAAACAATTCCGGTGTCCATCCACATCCAACCAGATGATGAATTTAAAAAACTTCATCATTTTTCAAACATGACTTCTAACTTCAAACTACCAAATGAGCTCTCTTGAAAAATTAGAATATATTCACATTAATCAATCAGACATTAACAAAAGCGTTCTCTAAAATTTGGCTATTTTTAAAACTAACACTCTGTTACATCCTTCTTTCAAATTATCGCCTAAATATTAAAATTTAAAACAAAACTCTGACTTGTATTTTTCACTTTTGTCAAATTCTCAACTGTTTAATTGTGGCACGAGCAAATGCAAGGGTTCAACATTTCAAAAAAAATCATTTGGGGTTTAGTTTTGTAACTTAACAAAGTTTTTAGTGTTACATATGTAATTCCTCTCTTTTTATTTTAATTTTTTACACCTTTGATTTCTATCAACAAACAAATGGTATTAATATATGCTTAGCATGTATACATATAGTATATATTCATTTTATGAATAAGAATTTAAATCCACCAGACTAGGCTCACAGTTGTTTCAAATATATACAGTTGCATTAATTCTCCAACCATTTCACCAACTGTTGTTGTGTGACTTAAGATGGACGCCTCTTATTTAATAACCTGCAAAAAAAAGGTTTCTCATCTCAAGCGTTTGCTTAGCATATCTCCAGCAGATTGCATTATTACTGTGCTACAAGATAGATTTCTCAAAAGTAAGTCCCCCATTTTGTCCTGTTTGAAATAAAACCTAAAGAGCAACAGCACAACCAATTACATGAGAAGATAAAAGACCATTCTTTTATCAATATATGTTAAGTACTTTAAAGCGCCTCAGCTTTCATAGAAGTAAAAGAAAAAAGTAAAGCCCCCCAACACCAGTTAATTATATATAGCGCGTACAAGTTCCTCCTGATGGCTGAAAGCATCTAGATTGATAAGAAACTTCTGACCGGCAATACAATGGCATAAATTTTATCAGGATACTTTGCTGATGAGTAAACGATCACATAAACTTTCTTCATATGTTACTTAAATACGCTGCTCTCACTTTCATTCGCATATTACTTCTACAAATCGTTTACCGATAACTTCTTATTTAGGGATGACAGCAGGGTTAAAATGCATTAAATAATAAATAAATTCATAATAAAAAGTATGACTTCAACGCATACAGTAGTAATCGCCAAGGAACTAGAGAATTCACCTGAGAAACAACGGACATCGTATCGCGCAGCACATCCCCTTGTGTGCCATTCCGCTGGGCCGATGGCGGTGGAGTTGATCCAAACCCCACGTACTTTCCTCCCTGGGATGGCGGGATTCCGTCCGGGCGGGATTCATTTTCCGCCATTTTCCTAGCAAAGAAGCTCTCTTTATTAGCGGAGGAATCCTCCAGCTGCGCCTTTGTGTATATATCCTCCGTAGATCTAGATCTTGACGGCACCCCACCTTTCCCAGCTCCAATAGTCCCAGGTCTGACATCGTTGGCCGACTGATTCCTCCTCATATCAACCGAGCGATAGTCATTACTGTCCCAGCTATCCCAGCCGTCGTTGCTTGAATTCACCGACTGCGCAAGCGGCGGCTTCTTCGCACCGACACCGATCGTTTCCTTCTCGACCGGCGGATCGCGCCACGGCCGGCCCTCAGCAATGGCCTGGATCCGGTCGCGGTAGACGCTAGCAGCGTTCGTGTTGTACTTAGCAACAATATCAGTCTCCTTTGAGACACCGTACTGCACCAAGAATGCATTGAGAAGATCGTTGCCGCCGGCCTCCATCTTCTTAAGCTGTATCTCGGACCAGGAATCCATCGTCACGGATCGAACGAAGCTGATGTGAACACCTAGACCGCGATGCTTGCCGGAGCATTCGAGGCACATGAAAACGCCGTAGGAAACCGATGCCCACTGAGGATTCTTCTGCGAGCAGTCCACGCACGTTTTGTTACCCGGACGCGATTGGAGCTCTCGCAGCCGTCTCGACGCCGATGCCGCCGCCGCAGCCGCCATCAAAGTTCTGGCGATCGACCGGATCTAGATCTCCGGTTCGAAATTAAGATAAAGGGAAGAGAAATCGGAGGCAAACCCTAGATCGATTGATTCGCAACAAAGTCTTCCGCTGTTTTAGGGTTCAGAATTCCGGCGACAGAAGACGGCGTCGGCGGAGGAGAAAGGAGGAAAGGAGAGGAGGTTGAAGAATTGCAATTGGGACCGGGCCTCCTCTTCTTTCTCTCTCCGCCGGGGGAGTGGGGTCTTGTTTGCTCCGAATCCACCTATAAACCATTGGGTGCGCTCAGCAGTCGGGACGATAATATATTGATCAGTGGCAATTTCTCGAGGATTAAGCCTACTTCTCCGTTAAAATTATACAAAAATAAATAAAACAAAATTTTGCAGATCCATAATTTTGATCTGATAAGATTATATAAACAAAAAATTATCAATTATTAATTATGTAAATTTAATAATAATTATGATTAATCTGACTAAGAGTCCATTCAAAGGCAGCTCAAATCAGCTGAAGGCATTCAATCTAATTCCAAGCCGTCCTTGAAACAAAATTTTATTTACCTATTTAATACCTAAAATTTTAATATTACATATATATCATCCTATATCATTTTAATATGAAATATATCAATCATATTTCATTCATACCACCCATATATTTCATTTCAACTACTCATATTTGATATAAAATTGAACTATAGGTGATATGTATTTTTATTATTATTATTATTATTATAGGTGATATGTATGTACTAATAAAATTTTAAGTTTTAGATATGTAAATAGAGTTGTATGGAATGGTATGTATGTAAATCCCCCAAAATTTTATATGTGATACGTTATAGAAAAATTATCTTGATCGGGCGCGAATCTCGAGGCAAAATCAAGTTGGAAACTTCAAAAATTAAAATTGGAACCATCCGAATTCCGATTTTAGCAAACTTATAGTTAAACTGAACATCTCGGAAATATGAACCGAACGTCATCAAATTTGACTCAATCCGAGCTCAAATGAGTCCAAATCAAGGACTCAAAGCGCTGTTGGAAGGTTCGAACCATAATTTGGATTACTAAACGGTTTCCAAATATTACGTACTTAAAGTCGAATCGAGCGGCTCAACGAGATGAATCCAACGAGCCCAAGATCGCCGAATTCCAACATCATTAAGATCTTCAAATATCTAACAAATGGTCCATGATCAAGGGATTCAATATCGGCCGTCCATCCAACCACTACCCATTTACCCTTGATCTCTCACATATTTATAGATCATGTCACTCCATAAATCTATAAATATTCCCCTCCTTTCTCTTGAAAAAGGAGGCTCCAAGCAAGATAGCAAGAGAGAGATCAGAGATCACTCTTGCCTCCTCGTCTCTCCTCGACCACCGCCTGATGTCGTTACTCCACCGGACCATCACTTGAGACCCTCACCTCTGCCGGACCACCACTTGAGACCCTCACCTCTATCGGACCACCTCCTGACATCGTTGCTCTGCCGGACCACCGCTTGAAGCCCTCGCCTCCGCTGGACCACCGCTTGACGTCATTGCTCCGCCAGACCACCACTTGAGGCCCTCACCTCCGCTGGACCACCGCCTGATGTCGTTACTCCGCCGGACCACCCCTTGAAGCCCTCACCTCCGCCACCACCGCTTGAAGCCATCACCTCCACCGGACCACCGCCTGACGTCGTTGCTCCGTTGAACCACCGCTTGAGGCCCTCACCTCCGTCAGACAACCGTCTGATGTCGTTCCGCCGGACCATCCCTTGAAGCCCTCACCTCCGCCGGACCACCGTCTGACGTCGTTGCTCTGATGAACCACCGCTTGAAGCCCTCACCTCCGCCCCACTGCCTGATGTCGTTTCTCTGCCGGACCATCGCTTGAAGCCCTCGCCTCTGTCGGACCACCGCTTAATGTCGTTGCTCTACCGGACCACCACTTTAGGCTCTGTGCTCTACCAGGCCACCACCTGAGGCCCGAACTTCTACCGGACCACTACCCGAGATTCAGACTTCTGCTGGACCATCACTTGAGGCTATGTGCTCCACCAGGCCACCACATGATGCCCGGACTTCCATCGAACCACCACTTGAGGCCCTGAGCTCCACCAGGACACTACCTGATGCCCGAAGTTCTGCTAGACCACCACTTGAGTCTCGAACTTCTACCGGACCGCCACCTGAGGCCCGAATTAATTCTACTGTACCACAACCTGAGACTCGGACTTCTGTCGGGCCACCACTTGACGCCAAGAGTTCTCCCGGAGTACCGCCCTTCTACTACGGTCTCATGTCTATTATGGTCCTTCTGACCTCCATCAATAGATAACAGACTTTTTGACCCCGATCTTCTGCCTACTACGTTCTTTCGGACCCCTGTCTCCTGCTGATTATGATATTTCTGACCTTCATCACCAGACAACGGTCTTTCTGACCCCGGTTTTTTGCCAACTACAATCTTTCGGACACCTGTCTCGTGCCGACTATGGTCCTTCCAATCAAACAAACATGTCTATGTTGATTATTGTAACTCCCACCATATAATGCGCTTTATATGACGTACATTAGTGACATCAAGCCAAGGCCTTCTCCCTAAGAATGGGCTCATTTGTAACCGATTGCAAATACTAGTTGATTCATTCAAATTAGGCCAAGCCCCATGGTTTTTCCCCCCCTTTTCAGGGGTTTCCAAGTAAAAACTCTGGTGTCTCTTATGAATGCTACACCCTCTATCTAATCTGCTTGTGTGATGGATCTTCGTGCAATGCTAAGACGTTAAATTATATATTTCTCTACCGCCGTGAATACTCCATAACGCAACAATATATAATTGAATTTGAGCTGGATAAATGTAACTTAAATTGAATTAAATCAGATTTATTAGACTGATTTAATATTTAAAAAAAAATAAATTCACTAATCAATTTAAAATTTAGAACGGTTTTTAAATCAAAATTCACAACCTAACGATTTGAAGAAGCATCAACGTATTCATTGATTGAAATGAATGAGGTGGGTACATGTTTTATAATTATTTTTATTTTAAAGCCTACAAAACAAATATTTTTAGTTTAGAGCCTGCTACATTTTTTTTTTTGAAAAAGTGCTTATACAATTATGGGAAGGATATTTTTTTTTAGTTGATGTAAAAAAAAAAAGCATCATACCATACAACTTTTATAAAAGAAGCAAAAATATAATAACCAAACAGAAATTATGAGTACAATATGAAAAACAAAACAATAAGAAAGTTGATGGAAAGAGAGCCTTAGGGCATCTCTAACCCAAAAAACCCATTTTCCACTCTAAAATGCCGTAATTCATCTCCAATCGAACTGCAATTCCTGCAAAGGTTATTAGCACGTATAGATATATTCTGTATTTACCATTATGTTATTACTTAGTTGCCATTTGTCTGGCTATATAATACTCACCTTTGTACCTAGTTTGTGATATACAAGATTTACTTCTTTTATTTCGTCTCTGTCTTTTCTCTACCGTGCTCCGTGCTCTCTCCAGGTTCTTGCTTTTCCTTCCTCAAAGCTCTCAAAGGTAACAATCTCTCTCCCCTTTCGCACACTTTTCTCCTCTTTCGGATTCTTCTTCGGCAATCCAATTTTTTTTAACATTATTGGCGTCGCACTGTTCACCTACCTAATTTTGGCGTGAGATTTGGAATTCAAATGCAGCTAATGACGGACGGCATATGATGATATACAGTTCGGTTGAAAATGATCTTAACTTAATAACTATATGATAAAAAGTTTAAAGACTTCAAATTATAAAAAAATATAACTGGTAGAAAAGTTTGGATGATGAACAATGAAGAACGTGAAAGATCCGTTGGCTGATCATTCTTTTGATAACAGGAGGGACAAAGTAGATGAGAAGATCAGTGTCAATCATAAGTAGCTTGTATGCATTGAATAGTACTTGTTGACAAGTATTGATAAATGATTGATGGGGGATATTTGAAACACTTAAAAAAACTTAAAAAAAAAAACAATTATTATTTAAAAAGACATCTTGACTTATTTTGAGTATTTCATTATGTTTGAGTTGTCTTATTTATAATAATAATAATGAGTATAGTAAAATTCCATGATCAAATTATATTAAAATAATAATAATAATAATAATAATATGATGAACTTATATAATATAATACAGATATTATTATAAGGACTGAATGCCGCATTTTGATGTGGAAATAACATAATATTGTATTGTTGCTGATAAGAAAGAAATAAGATTCATGCCACAATTTCATTCATTTTTGTTGAATTCCTGCTTAGCAGGTAAAAAAGGCTTATGAAAGATACTGTCATATTAGTTTTGATACCTCATTAAAAATTATCTTGATCGGACATGAATCTCGAGGCACACCCAAGTTGGAAAATTTTCAATTAAAATTATGGATCATCCAAACTCTAATTTTAGCAAGGTTATAGTTAAATTGAACATCTTGAGAAGATGAACCCAATGACACCAAATTCAGTTCAATCCAAGCCCAAATCGAAGGACCAAAATACTCTTGGAAGCTTCAGAACATTAATTGGATGATCAAATGAATGTGCATGCATATAGTCAAATGAAGCGTCTCGATGAGAGGAATCCAACGAGCCCAAGATTGCTTCATTTTGACATCATTAAGACACTTAAATGTTGAATAAAGCCCTATGATCAAAATAACCAATATCGACCGTCCATTAGAATATTAGCATATCTTAAACATTCTGTATCTAGTTATTACTTAATTGCCATTATATGGTATTAAATACTGCTCTGTACTCTGCCCCGTTAATGAACTCTATTCTTCAATTTCTGTTAGCCGTGTTTGTCTTTCTCGGTCTCTCCCGTCTCCTGTCATTCTCACATGGTATCAAGAGCCATGAGGGGAGATCAAGATTCTGGCATTTCTCCTCCTCCTCCCTCCTCCCTCCTCCTCCTCTTCCACCCAGATCGGCAACTATCTTGCACAAATCTCCATTCCCCAACCACTCAAATTTCTTGTCTCTAACCTCAAGAACTTGGTACCGCACTCACTCACGTCAGAAAATTACATGATATGGCGAACACAGCTCCAACAGCAGTTCACAGCGAACGGATTCGCCGGTCATCTCACCGGCTCCACCATGGCTCCCGTCAACACTGCTTCCGCCGATCACGCCAACTGGACTATCATCGACAGTAACCTCCTCTCAGCCCTCTTCTCCACCGTTTCTCAAGAAATTCTTCCCTACATCATTACCTCCAAGACCACCCATGAGGCTTGGTCTGCTCTGGAAAAACGCCTTCAACCGTCCAGCAGATCTCGCGTCATTCAACTCAAAAACGACCTGTATCACGTTCGCATGAAAGATCAAACTATCCAGCAATATCTCACCAAGATTAAGTCTCTCGTCGACGGCATTTCCGCCTCTGGTTCTCAGATTGATCCTGAGGACATAATTCTTCACATCTTGAATGGACTGCCACTCACGTTCAACTCCTTCAAATCAAATTTTCGCAACTCCCTCCAACCCATAGATCTTGACACATTCTATGCGCTCCTCTGCAATGAAGATCTTCATCTCCAACAAGATATTCTCCAAGAACAGCAGCCGACACACGCGGCCACTGCTCTTTACGCCGCGCCAAACACTCAAAACCGAGGAAGAAACTACAAAAGATTTATCAAGAACAAGAATCCACTGAACAACAATCCCACGACGGTATATCCGAACACGACACCGGCTGCTACCAACAAGGCTCGACCGACATGCCAAATCTGTGGCAAGATCGGTCATGTAGCTCTCAATTGCTGGCATAGGTGCAACTTCAAATATGCCCCCACCGATCCTCGTCAACCTCGGGCACTTCTCGCAAACCCAACGCCTACCACATCTCAAGAATGGATTGTAGATTCGGGGGCCTCAACACACCTTACACCTGATGTACAGAACATCCAGTACCCCGCGCAATACCAGGGCCTCGACTCGGTCTCCGTTGCCAATGGCTCTTCTCTGCCTATACAACACGCAGGTCAAGGAATTCTCCCCCTTCCTGACACGTCTCGTAAGCTTCGTCTTCATAATCTTCTTCATGTACCGAATTTAACACATAATCTATTATCCGTTTCAAAGCTCACTCCAGATAGTTCTGTTTCCATAACTTTTGATGCACATGGCTTTATTATTAAGGATATACATGATCAGCGTCCACTGCTTCATGGACGCCTTCATAAAGGTCTATATCAAATACAAGTAGCTCCAGACACCAAGCCGACTGCCTTCTCCGCCACCACCAATGCCTCTCATCTCTGGCACGCCCGGTTAGGACATCCGCGCAACGACATCACCTCTGTTCTTGCTAACAGATTTTCGGAGATTTCTAGTTTACCCTCCTCTTTTATTTGCTCATCATGTAACGTGGCTAAAAGCCACAAGCAAGCTTTTAATAAAAGTTTTTCCATTACTTTTGCACCATTTGAATTACTTCACACAGATGTTTGGGGACCGGCACCCCAACCTTCCATCGATGGATTTCATTACTATATTGTTTTTATCGACGACTACACACGTTTTTCTTGGATTTATTTCATGTATACCAAACAAGAAGCGTTGTCGAAATTTAAAATCTTATGTAACGTTATTAATACGCAATTTCAAACTAATCCCAAAATTCTTAGGTCCGACGGTGGGGGTGAGTTCATTAGCAACTCATTCAAGGCTTTTCTCCAAGAACGTGGAATAACACAACAATTATCCTGCCCTCACACGCCGGAACAGAATGGCCTTGCTGAACGCAAGCACAGACATCTTCTTGATCTGACTCGAGCTCTCCTTCACGCAGCTAATCTCCCAATCAAGTTCTGGACCGACGCCCTCTCCACAGCACATTATCATATCAATCTCCTTCCATCCAAATCTATTTCTCTCCAAATCCCGTTTCAACGTCTGCACGGTACACCTCCGTCGTATTCTCACTTGCGCACCTTCGGCTGCCTATGCTTTCCTTGGATGAAGCCTTATGCACCAAACAAGTTTGCCCCGAGATCACACGAATGCATTTTTCTTGGCTATTCGCCTCAGCACAAAGGCTACAAATGCTCCACTCTAAGCACAGGTAAAACTCTCATTTCTCGTCACGTGGTTTTCTATGAAAATCATTTTCCCTACAAACATCTTCAACCTCCCCACACGGAATTAACATCCTATATTCCCACCAATATCCCGCCTCTGATTTTAACTCCTCACTCCACTGCTACCCCCATCACCACTAAACCCAACTCATCCCTTCCTCACATTTCTGGCAACACTAATTCCTCTCCTACTATTCTCTCACCAAATCACTCGGCCAGCAGCAGCTCTACTTCTACACACACATATAACTCCAGCAACACTCACTCCTTACCTGCATTCGCACAGCCACCATACCCGCCCATTCCTAATCCTTCACACCCCATGCAAACGCGCCTAAAATCTGGCATCTCCAAACCAAAACAATTCTTCAACCTCCTCACACATTTCAACCCGCAAACCACACCGCTCAATTACAACCAGGCAGCTAAACTCCCACACTGGCAAACGGCTATGAACGACGAGTTCAATGCTCTACAGAAACAAGAAACATGGACTTTGGATCCCGCTCCTACAAACAAACCGATATTGGGCTGCAAATGGACCTACAAAACAAAGCTTCTTCCGACTGGTAAGGTCGATTGATACAAAGCCCGCCTTGTAGCCCTCGGCTACAATCAAAAGTTCGGCATCAACTACACCGAGACTTTTAGCCCAGTCGCCAAGATGCCAACCATACGACTTCTTCTCACTCTCGCACTCAACCGCCAATGGCAACTTCTTCAACTGGATGTCTCGAACGCGTTTCTTCACGGAGACCTCCTAGATGATATCTACATGCGTCAACCTCCTGGTTTCCAAAACCCGCAGCATCCAGACTTCGTCTGTAGACTACGCAAATCGCTTTACGGCTTAAAACAAGCGCCGAGACAATGGTTCCTAAAGCTCACTGGTTTTCTTCAAGATCAAGGATTTCGGTTTAGTCATTCCGATCCTTCTCTACTTATTCTTAACAAAGACAACATTCACATTTACATTCTAATATATGTTGATGGCTTTCTTGTCACAGGAAACAACGAACCAGCTATCACCCGTCTCCTCAAACAGCTTCGCTCCCAATTTGCGCTAAAACAGCTTGGCGATATCTCATTGTTTCTTGGGATCCAGGTTCTCCGAACCTCTAACGGTTATTTTTTAAATCAAACTCATTATGCTTCCAAACTTCTAAATGATGCAGGTTATACGGATTGCAAACCCGCCCCCACCCCGACATCTTCTCCGTCCAAGCAGAAAACAGCCGACCGGACTCCATTTTCGGATCCCACCGTGTATCGACGGCTCGCAGGATCAATGCAATATCTCACAATCACGCGGCCCGACCTTGCTTTCGCCACTAACATAGTCTGTCAACATATGCAAGATCCTTCCAACCAGGATTTCAAAGCTCTTAAAAGACTTCTCCGATACATCAAGGGAACTCTCTCTTACGGGCTCCCTATTACAACCGAAAATCTGGAACTTCACTCTTATACGGACGCTGACTGGGCCACTGATGCTAGCGACCGGAAATCAATCTCCGGTTTTTGCACATTCATCGGTCCAAATCTCATCTCATGGACTGTCAAAAAGCAGGTCACCGTCGCCAAATCCTCAACTGAAGCCGAATACAGATCGCTCTCCGCAGCCACTTCAGAGGTCATTTGGCTCCGCCGCCTAGCTGCCGAGCTAAATCTACCGCAGGAAAAACCTACCATCATTCATTGCGACAACACCTCTGCTATGGCCATTGCGAAGAACCCGGTCTTCCACGCACGAACGAAACATATCGAGATTGACTATCACTTCATCCGTGAACACATCGGCTCAGGCGCAATCCAACTCACTCATCTGTCATCCAAAGAACAAATTGCGGACATACTTACCAAGCATTTGTCACCGCCACGGTTCAACGAATTACGCAGCAAATTAACCATTCGATCCTCGAATGCTTAATTTGCGGGAGGCTATTAGCATATCTTAAACATTCTGTATCTAGTTATTACTTAATTGCCATTATACGGTATTAAATACCACTCTGCTCCGTTAATGAAATCTATTCTTCAATTTCTGTTAGCCGTGTTTGCCTTTCTCGGTCTCTCCCGTCTCCTGTCATTCTCACATAGAACACTCCCAACTTAGCCTTGATTTTCTCCAAATTTACTTGTCATGACACTCTCAAAAATATAAATATACTCACATTCTTCACATGAAAGGGAGAGAGAAAGAAAATGAGAAAATTTGGGAAACTCTTCTACCACCGTCCGTTTTCAGACTTTAAAATCAATACAATAGCCATTTCGAATGAAGCTTAAATTAAAAACAAAAAAGCTTATATGTATAAGACAAAAAAGGTTATATGTATACATGTGGTTCAATAAATAGAACCATTCAATTTCATGTACTTGTAAATATATAGCTCAAAATATAAGAAAAAACAAAATTGAAAATACATTAGAATAAGAGATAAAAAATAGAACAAAAACAAAAATAACAGAGATCTAAATGAGAGAAGCATCTAAAGGATAAAATGCAAAGGATACTATGATCCAGAGAGCACATATATAATTTAATATAGAGATCAAGCCAAAACTGCATAGTCTAGATTATGCCCAAAATCACATCAAATTCAAGATCTGAAGATAAAATCTCATACAGAAAATCCAACAGCTAAACTGGAAAGATTTAACAAAATTTGCTTGTGTTAAGCAACTTTCTAACCCCAATGAACTAAAATCTATAAATTTTCGCTTGCGCATTTATAGGCAACATGAATTCTAACTTGTGTGGCGATCCACGTTTCAGAAGAAGAAGAGAAGAAAAAAGACCTATCATTTTTTTTTTTAATTTTTTTTTAGCCCAATCATACAAACTGATGAAGATGTGATAAGAAGATGTAATCTTCTAGTAATTTTTAGTTAAAACAAACACTTTTTTTTAACAATAAAGGAGTGAGGCCAAATAGTCTAAACAAAGATAAATAAATACTACCCCAAAAGTAGCAGGACTCAGACCGCCACCTAAATGTCAAGCTTGGGCCATCCAAACAGTAAGAGAAGGCACTAGCATAAATCCAACAAAAATAAAAAACAACGAAATCTGAGAGAAAACCAACCACCAAGGTTGCCAAACAAGCCTAGGCCGTCCTAGGGGCGTGTAGGAAAATTGCACATCATTGTCCAAAAGCAACTACAAGCGACCATATAGAAACACCCAAAATCATTTTCTGTTAGATTTCCTCCGTTTTCGAAAACCTGCTTTTTTTGAGGAGTCAGTCTCAACAACACAGATTACATTAAGATCATAAATCCCCATAGACTCATGCACATCAAAGTCAATCTTAGCACCCCACATAGGAGTATCACAATCATCCAACTAGTCACCCTCAGCCAACTCCAAATCCATCCCATTAGCAGCCAGTTTAGCAAACAAAGCATCGTTCCTTGTTAGAGATATTGGGACATCAAAGAGAGGGCCAGAAGTTCCCCCTTTCAACCTATCAGAATCATTGATAAGAGGCAAAGCAAGCCCATCATTAACATTCTCAATCGGTAAACTCGAGGCAGAAGATACCAAATGAACATCAGCTTCACGGCCCACAACTCCCAAAGAAATAGAATTATAATCTACCACAACATTAGCATCACCTCCCGCATTAGGAAACGGAGTCGGAGAAGAAACACAATTAACCATGGAGCTCACACAACTCTCCTTGACCTATTGGTTGAGAGCTTAGGCTTCCAACTAAGAGGTTCAGGGTTCGAGTCTATGTGTATGCGTTGTGTGTGTGAATTTGCCTTAAATAACCTAAATGTCCCAAAAAAAAAACCACCATGACACCCTTCCCGTTGATACAAGAATCATCAACAATATTACCGACTAAATAAAGAACACCAGAATCATCATCAGCAATATTAATAGGTGAGACAAGCAGCATTGAAGTGACATTATCCAAATTTGAAACGACTGCACACACATTAGTACGGACTCCTGCCTGAACATTGCTTGCAGAAACTCCAACAAAGAAGGCTTAACCAGAAAAAAAAAATCAGTCAGGAACACATTTCTTATTGGCCATACGATCCAAGTAGAAAAAAAAAAAAGAGATTTGATTGTGTTTCATCATTAAGATCACAAAATTTGCACAAAGATTCAACTGAAAAATCTCTAGCTAAAAACTTACCATTATTTTCAATCCATTAATGCTAATCCCATGAGACCAACCAGCAGTAGGGAGATCACAAAAAATAGCCTTTTGGCTTTGAAATTAAACAAATTGTTTTACAATTTTCAAAGAATTCTATCAAATTGATATGAACCCAAATACTAAAGTCACCGAACACAGAGCACAAGCAAGATAAGCTGTAATTAGTTTAAGTATTGTAATATGTCAGATAATTTGTTTCGTTTTGAATAGTTTTTTGTTTAGTTGTTAGAGTCTTTTTTTCAGTTGTAACCAATTTTTTATTTCTATTTTGAACATTGTATTATTGTAATTCTTTTGAAAGCTATGAATAAAGAGAATTAGCTAGCAGGGATGCCGAGAGGCTAATGCAGAGATGCCGAGAGAGAATTTTTCCTGCAATTGTTTTATTTTGTTTCAAGAGTTGGGACTCTGAATGTGGGAATTCTGATAATCGGAATAAGATCCCATCACCGGACCTGTAGCAATGGTCAGATTTATCATAGCATTGTAACAGTTAGAGTTAAAAAATGTCAAAGTCTCACGTTTCCTCCATTGTCCATTATGTAATTAAGCATGGTGTTGGTGAACAAGTTCAATCATGAAAAGCATCCAGGCCCCAAAAATTCATATAGAGACAACCACTCAGCCAAGCTTCAATCAACAAATGAAAGACATTACTATTGGATAGCCAGTGTTTCAAATAAGTGGCAGTATTCTTAAGCACTTTCCACAAGTAGGAGCCTGCAAAGTTTCCTTCCAACACCATCTAAAAAGAAGATAGGAGATAGGGGTGTCAATATTTGACACGATCCGAAAATCCGACTGGAATCCGACTCGAAAATTTCAGGTTAGGGTCAATCCGGACTCGAATCGGGTTGGGTTCGGGTTCAGCAAATTGACCCTTTTCAAAAACCGCGTCGGGATCGGGTTGATCAAGTAATCCAAAATTTGACCCGTTTCTTACCCATTTTGACACGAAAATCTGTTTTTGACCCGATTTTTTACCCGCTTTTGACCTGAAAATCGGATAATGACCTATTTTTTTATCCGAAAACTAGCAATTTTTAGTCCGTCCCGGATCATTCGGGTTGTGTCGGGTTGACTAGGACCCAAAGCGGGTCGGGTTCGGGTCCAAAAACTGACACGTTCGGCGAAACGGGCCGGGTTCAGGCGGAAAAGGGTCGGGTTCAGTTTGACCCGAATAGTGTCAGGTCCGTTTCGGGTTCGACCCAAACCCGACCAGTGACCCAAAATTTACACCCCTAATAGGAGAAATCAAACATTCTTCATACCATTTTCATTTTCAAATTGTGAAAATAGAAGATACACTTGTATCCTTTTTATCCTTGGGAGTAGTAATTTTTTGCCTGGAGATCATATGGTATTCCTTAAAATTCCTCCCATCAAAGAAAAAACAAATTAAGAAGTTTTAGACGTATCTTAATAAGAAGAGAACTTTCACCTAGATAATGTTTTTCTTTCAGTAAGCTAGACAAGCATTCAATTTATCAAATAAGAGAGAGAGAGAGAGAGGGGGGGAGGGGGAGAGAGAGAGAGATTTAACTTGAATTGCCTGCTGTTCTTATCTTAGAACTTGTATAAAAGATAAATGTCCAGCTTTGGTGACTGCATTAATTGCATAACAACAGGCAAATATCATTTATATATAATAGAAGGACATGCATGTGAAGTGACACGCTCAAGGGGGAGAAAAACATTGACAGTAAGGTACTAAAAAAAAGTGGTTGTGATTTCTGGATTGAATAGTACTTCATGATAATGGGTAGCTCTTCCTGATTATACATGCTGAAAATTATATCACTGGTATATAAATATTCTGTAAGGAGTTCAGTTCAAAAATAATCAGTAAAAATATGTGAAAAATTGTCCTAGATCTTCACCTACCAGTAAGGGAAAAAAAAAAATCTAAGCAGTCTGAATACCAGAAAGATCATGCAATTCTGTATATCTGTATTGATCATGCACAGGAACATGCATGCAATGTTGTGCAAAATCAGTGAAAACGACAAGAACAAACACAGTCAAATACGACGATTTATATGATTCGGTGAAGATGACTACGTTCATGAGAAGAAGATGATTTCACTATTATGGAGAAACAAACAGGATAACAATTGGATCTTTATTTCTTTGCATACATTACAATCTTTCTTAAGTCTCTATCTATAGATTTGAAATAAAACAAAACAAAGAAGACTAATTAATGATATCCTAATCAGTACAAATTCAAACTCCCAATTTTGCCAACAATCAAATCTCCTAATTAATGCAATAATCAGCCAATAAAATTTTTCTTAATCTCTGGTAAATTAGATAAGGAAAGATTTCTACTGCATGCAAATTCACCCAATTAACAAGTACTAAGTACTGTATTTTAATTCTGCCATCGCATTCTTCAGTTCTTTGCCTAGTAACAATTAGGCTCTCAATTTTTTGAGAAATTATTCCGTGCGGAGTCCGGACAAGAACAACCATCTGGATATGTAAGTGTACACACTGTGTATAAATTTGTACACAATGTGTATCAACTTTTTGTAAAATTGTTTGTACATAACGTGTACACTCACAGTCAGAACGATTCTTCCCGTCCGGATTCCGCACGGAATTATTTCTACAATTTTTCATGTCACCATTAGATGTCAATTATGTCCATTTTTAATGGTCAATATTTAAATATTGATGTTGTCATCTACTGTCACTATCTATTTAAAGCCTCCTCCAAACATCGCAGACCTCCACCTCCTCTCAT